TGGCTGTTATAGAAAATAGATACTGTAGACGATGAACTTGAATTGTTGACTTTCGTAGGTGCGAGTGTTCTTGTCAATCGGATGGACCTCGGCTGTACCTGCATTTACCCCACACCTACGCTAAAGTATACCGAGATGAATACTTGCTAGTCATTCACGCTTACACATAACTTTCCTCCGTCGAACTACCTGTTCTGACTGTCACTTCTATAACTCATGATACGAACTCACCATCTTCTACTATTCAATTCTCACCAATCATGTCGTCAACCAATCCTCAGCGGATCCTGGAGTTCAATTACGACATATCCTGTCCCTTCGCCTACATAGCCTCAACACGCGTACAGTCACTAGCCCATCGCACTCACGCTATCCTGATCTACAAACCCGTTCTCCTAGGCGCAATTTACCGCGCAACAGCCGCACCTCAAGGCGCCGGCGGCTCAGCATCCGATGTCTTCAACTCAGCCAAGAAAGCGGTTACAGCGCAAGGCATGCAACGTACATTGCGCAGATACAACATTCGGTACAACCCGCCACCTCAGCATCCTCGTAAAACAGTGAATGCACTACGTTTATTGTACTGTGTCAAAGACCATGAGAAGAGGAGGATGTTGACAGACAAGTTGTTCCAAGCTTATTGGGCAGAAGGCAAGGACGTGAATTCCAATGCTACCATCCTGCAGATTGCGAGGGAATGCGGTATCGAAAATGTGGGGGAAGAATCTTTCGCTGATGCAGGTGCGAGGAAAGAGTTAGAAACTTCTACTGCCGAAGCAATCGAAAGAGGTGCTTTTGGTGTGCCTGGATTTTGGATCCCGGATGCTCTATGGACGAACGCGAATGGTGAAGAAAAGCGAGGGCGGTTTTTCTGGGGTCAGGATCGCATGCATTTCGTTGAGGCGACCTTACTCTCCCTTTCATCATCATCACGGTCGCCATCTGGAAAACCGTGGACACATGTACCGGCACTCAAGAGCTTGATGCCGCGGTGCGTACCCAGTAATGATCCTCATGGCCGGGTAAAAGTCGAATTCTGGTTCGACTTTAGCAGTCCGTGGGCGTTTTTGGGGTACACACAGTTGGAACGACTAAAGAAGACATTTGGCAAGGACTTGGAAATTGTCATGAAGCCATTTCTCCTGGGTATCTTGTTCCGAGAGATCGGTGCGCCAAATCTGCCAATGGCGGCGGTTAGTCCGGCGAAAGCGCTGTGGTCGAGACAAGACCACGCGGACTGGACCGAGTACTGGAACGCGATAAGTCGGCAAGATGGTGGAAGAGAAGTCAAGTTCTATTGGGCAGACATCTTTCCCATCCGGACACCGACTGTGCTGAGGGTTGCGCTTGTGGAGCCGGATACCACAAATCTGTTGTGTAAGTTGCACGCTCTGTTTCACTTCCCGAGCCGCAGCATAAATCACAGAATAGACTAACGAAGTATAGTCGAAGCATGTTGGTCTCACAACCAAGACATGTCCAACGACACCGTGCTCCGTACCGTTCTCGACCAAGGTGGTTTCAATGGCGCTGATCTTGTTGCTCGCGCGAACGAACCCGCAGTCAAAGCTAAGCTGCGGGCCGCTACCGCAGAGGCAAAAGAAATGGGTCTCTGTGGCGTACCCACGTATCGTGTGCTGAGGCAGGGGGATAAAGGGGAGTGGGAGGCGGTTGGTGGTCTGGTCTGGGGTCAAGACGAAATCAACGTTGTCGAAGACCTAATTGCTGGATGGAATCCTGAAAGTTCAGGACAAGCGGCTAGGGTGGTGAGGAAAGAGAATGGCGCGGGTTCGAAGTTGTGAGTACGGTTATTTCCAACCCACAACAAGACGCGATGCCTTGGTCGAATCTACAACTGTGTTCAAGTGGTGAAGATCAAATTATCGTACTATTGTATCATGATTCGTAAGTTAGATACATGGAGAATTCGTCGCACAAAAACAAGCCATTACGCCAAAACCATGCGCCTTCCCTGGGTATCAAAATATGAAAAGAGTGTTGGTCGTTCGTTGAGTAAATGTTCGTATCTCGTGTAGAGGTGTAGGGTATATGTCGTAAAGGTGCCTGGAAAGTATGCGTGCCACGTGAACCTTGTAGAGAAGTGTCGATGATATCAAGCCGTCAGGTCGACATCACCGTAGACACGGCGCTTCCTTCTCTTAGCTGCAAGCTGGGGTGTCCAGATGCCGCTGAAAAGATCCTCACATTCGTCCTCATCCTGAGAATCGAACTCAATGTCTTGGTCGTTCTTGTCTGGTACCATACCGTTGTCTTCTTCATTCATACTCTCATCCCACTCTGCACCCTTGACGATCCTCTTCGTCTCGAGTATGAACTTGCCGACCTTGTATTTCTGACTGTCCTCGGCTGCATCGACATACTTCCATCCCAACACACTACCACAGCTACGGCAGCTGATGTCAGATACAGTATGGGCGCCCGTCACGAGCTGACGAGCATGAGCCTTGTGTGTCAATGTGTTTGGCAAATCACCTTCCTTCCATCCTGTCGCCGACATATCCCCACTAGCCAAAAAGCTTGATGTCGATGGCGGCCCTACAAGGTATGCGCGGCCGTGACGTCCAGTGAACCCTTTGCTTATGATGGATGACGCAGGGATGAGGTCGGCAAGACACTTCTGGCAGCGTAGGTGCGAGGTTGGTCGCGCCGTGAGGAAGGAGGTTGGTTGTGGTGGAGATGAAGACGGAGACGTAGAGGCGGTCGAGGTGCTGATGGCCGAGCTTCGGCGTCGGCGGAAGGGCAGGCTAGGGAAGAGGTAGAGAGGAAAAGGTGTCGTTGGTGAATTCGGCATATTGTACTAGAAGGCCGGTTATCGGAAGAGCGAAAGTCAGTGAGGCTATGTCCAAATTATAGAGTAGTGTATCGTGATGTGTGTACGGCCTCACGCTGGCGGAGGTGGTGGTCCAGTATAAGTCCGGCAATACCAGACCAGGTCAAGCGCTATGGGGAAAAGGCCCTATCAGGAAGCGATACAGTGTTGCGTCGACGCAATAGCGCTGCAAACTGCCGACTATGCTTTTGTTGTCCGGTGTTGATCACGACTGGACAGCGGTTCAGTTCGTGATGCCTGAAGATCTTGCGGTGTATTGACCTGGGGGTGAACAGAAAACGTGACGACGCGTCTTGCCGATGACTGAAATTCGGTCGCTTAATCTCTGAACCCAGGGTGGGAAAGACGCTCACAATGGAGGTCTGTCCTCCCTTTGAGGCGTGTCGACGCGAAGGAGCAGATGACGCGCTGAAGACGTGGGAATGTCGCGATAAGCGATAAGACGGGCGCCACAGCCGAGGAGGCGGGGAGGTGGGGCAGAACAGACGATGCGCCTCAAGTTCTCGACATCGACAGAGGATTCACACCGGAATGCCTTCAGGTTCTGAAAAACAGTGTTTAATGAAGGACAAAGGCTGGATTCGAGAGAGATGGAGTGATAATAGCGGTCAGTACCTGGTTCTTGCTACCAGCTGCGTGCTGGCCAATCTTGATGACTGGTCAGATCATGCGACCTCTCAAACCCGGGCGTGTCGTCACGAGATGTGCTGGCACTTTCCGATTGTGCCCGGGCAGTACAAACGATGCAACTGGGTCGCACCAGTAGATGACGACTGAACTTACATGCGTAGCCTTGCTATAGTATATGCAAGCGCCAAGCACCATGCCGTAGTATCCGGAATAGGATTAGTCCCTGGAGATTGCTCCTTTCCCAGGTGGAGGCATTGTTCGCGACGCGTTGATCATCGCGACATTGTATCTCTCATGCTTCGTTAAGCATGAATGATCAACGAATCTGAGGAAGTTTCGCCTCGCAAGTTACACTGCGCCATCACCACCAGACAACAAGCTTCAACACGATGAGATCGTCTTTTGCCAGCGCACCACTCACAGCACAGTATGCTTGTGATATTTGTAGGCAAGTCCCCAGCTAATGCGTCCCGCCGGATACGAACGAGCTTCAGCAATAAACGGACGTGCAATCCATCAACGGATGAGTTCGCTAATCATCTGACAACCAGAGAGCGCAAAGTTCGGTGCGATCGTGCCCTCCCGAAATGCAGGTTCGTCCTTCAGCATAGTTTCTTATCCTACGAGTAGCGTGAACCAAAAGGAATACCTTTAGCCACGTTCCGCTTGGGTACAACTCAGAAACACGACTTTCTCCGTATTCGTCTCGCAACTGTGTGAGAGTGGAAACAGGAAGCTAATTGCGATGCGTATCTTGCAATGAAGACGTTGCGATCGTCTAAATCAACCATGCAGCTACAATCAAGCACACCCACGTCGCACACGCGACGATCAACTGAAGCAGCTTCAGGAGCGCCTAACCAAAGCTGAGGCTCAGCTTGCGCTTACCACGCCGGATCCACAGTCAAATCCTGCGATATCGGCCATGAACACTCCGATAGATTTGGATCATATCACAGGACTGGATGCAGCCACCGATACAGCGGTGAATAGCTCTGATATATTTACTTCGTTTACTGATGGAGCGGATACCAATATGTTGTTTGACTGGACCAATGAGCCACTAGCCGCGCTCGAGCCATTGGACGATGTGCTCCTTAATCAACATCAGTCATGTCTCGGAAGTGGGCCTGAGGAAGATCTATCTCCGGCAGATCTGGGTCTACTGCACGATCACTACTTCAATTCCGTCTACTATTCCTTCCCGTTCGTGAGCAGAGACAGATTCATAACGGATTCGACGAGTGGTAGCAGTCCTGCGACAAGTGCCCTGGTTTACGCTGTTGCTCTCGCCGGCTGCGCCCACTACCTTGGAGATACAGAGCGACAGGCCACGTGCTACAACCTTGCACGTGACTATGTTGAAAGGTGTGAACGAAAAGATCTTATGAAAGACATGAACTGCCTCCAGGCTTTGTTACTGATAGGCCGCTTTGAGGCCATGAGTCGGAAATTGGAGAGAAGCTGGTTGACGCTAGGACGCGCCGCTATGCTCTGTAGGCTTCTGAGATTGCATCAGATGGATGCAGTTAGGCATGATCAAGGAATACAGAACGGAAAGAACGATACTGGCATTCTATCGGGGTTGCCATATACGGAAGATGTGGCTCTATTAGAAGAGCGACGAAGGACTTTTTGGGCCTTATACATTCTGCAGAGCTATGTCAAAACACGGACAGGCTGGGATTGTCAATTGGGAGACGTCAAGGTTTGGACTACGTCATTGCGACGAATTACGATACGCGGAAACTAACACGATGTTCAGGACTTCCGTGTCTGCCTGCCATCGCCAGGGTTGTTAAGCTCCGGTCTAGAGCCGCTCAGGATGCCATATTTGCTAGATGTGAGTACCGAGTCCGGCTCTGAGATTACGTCCTACGCAGGCTGTGTTCTCATGGTCGAGCTGGCTTTGTCCTGCTTCGACCGTGATCAACAGCACGGCATTCCAGGTTTCTGGGACGGCTATTGCACCCTAGTCAAGAAGGCAGAAGATCTTTCTGTCATTCTCAAACATCATCTTAACGCCACATCCATTCGCGAAGACCCAATAGCTTTTAGCCTTTACATGAATTTGCGCGCTACCGAGATCTTCTTACACGATATGGCCATCATGAAAAGCGAAGAGCAAGGACTTCCACCATATATGAGAATCGAGAACCAACGCCGCGCTACTGCTGCTGCATTCCAGATATGTAACGCAGTAGGCCTCAATTTGCCGTCACCACGGAAGGCAAACAGCGACATTATCATGCTGCAAGCGATATTCATTGCTTGGCCCTTATTCATGGCATTGAAAGCGTTACATCGCGAACTCAGAGATGGAGAGGTTCAGGGAACTACAAACGGCGTCGTGGCCGCGTCCAAATTGCTCTTCGCAGCTCTAGACCATATTGAGGAATCGGACGGACACTGGCACCAATCGTTGACCCATGTTGGTACAAAACTGCAGGAATGGGAAGAGAAGACTGAGTTCAACTCATCTGCTCTGTGATCGTCTCTGCAATTATGAGTTTTGCTGTTGTCACTCGGTTGTAGGATTTTGAAAATCATCGAATAGCATCTCGCCAAGGCCATACACGTCGACGACCAGTTACCGCAAGGGTAAGACCACTGGGCTCTATTCGTCAAGAGCAACCTAAAAGAACGGACCCATCTTTACTAGAATACATATCCATCTCCGTCGTTCTGCAGCAGCGTTGCAGGGGGAAGTGGGTCTGTCGGCCTCCGTGTCCGTCCCCGTGTCCGTCTTGCGTCTGAACCGCCCCTTCAATGATATAATATTGCTGTAACCACGAAATCCCATCCCAAATAATTTGAATTCTTTTTGATTCTACGAAAGTATTACTAAATCAGTTATCAATTGACCGACGACCGCGAAAGCCGTATCCGATTGAGAACCAGTCGAACTAGCCGAAGATGAATGGATCAAACATCACGAAACATGTAGAAGCAGTGCAAAAGGGGATTCAGACCACGCCAAACGAACGCTCTGAATCCGACGATGGCGTCAATACGACCCAAGAGCGTAACGCTCGCGACATCCATGGCTGGAAGGTAAACAATCCACGGCAATGCTCACACGCATAGACCTTAGTATAAGATTACGATCATGCTAATGTCTCACATGTATTGCAATGTAGTGGGCCACCGCTTACGCTTCTATGCTATCTACCACGCTTCTCTTCGCTCTCGACAACACCATTGTCGCCAACATCCAACCAGCCATCATCAATGACTTTGGGCACCTCGAGTTATTTGCATGGATCGGAACCGGCTTCGCACTCGGCACCATGTTCATTCTGCTTTGGGGAAAGGTCTACGGTATTTTCAACATCAAGTGGGTTTACATCTTCAACATCTTCTTGTTTGAGGCGGGCAGTGCTCTTTGCGGTGCTGCTCCGAACATCGAGGCACTCATCATTGGCCGTGTGATTGCTGGCGTCGGTGGCTCAGGAATGTACTCAGGCACTCTGACTTATGTTTCTGTTCTCTGTAACAGTCAGGAGAAGCCAGCATATCTTGCCGGTAGCACCGTGGTTTGGGGTATCGGCAGCGTCCTCGGTCCAGTGGTCGGCGGCGCCTTTGCGATGAGCAGCGCCACCTGGAGATGGGTATGTATCTCTTCTATATCCTCCTTTGACCTCTGGACTTCGATATTGAACGAATAGTAGGGGTTTTATATCAATCTTCCCATCGGCGCCATCTTTGCGCCTGTTTACTTCCTACTCTTTCCCAGCATCGATCCTCATCCATGCAAGACGCTCGCGGATAAACTTCTTCTAATCGACTGGATCAGCGCTCTTATCTTCCTTTCTGGCTCTACCTGCCTGACGATCACGCTGACCTTTGGTGGAGTCATCTACTCGTTCCTTTCCGGCACTGTAGTCGCACTATGGACTGTTACAGGTGTTCTTTTGATCGCCTTCATCGTCATGCTGAGATTACACCCCTTGGTCACCAAGGAGAATCGCTTGTATCCTCTGCACTTCTTCAGGCAGCCAATCTTGATCAATATGCAGGTACAAGTGTTTCTGTCCTCGGGTATCGTCTTGGCCATGACCTACTATGTTCCCCTGTACTTCCAGTTCGTCAAGGGCGATGGTGCGCTTGAGGCGGGGGTTCGTCTACTACCTTTGATCATGTTCATGGTCGTGGCCTCAATGTTCAACGGCTTCTTGATGCCTAAATATGGGTTGATTCCTATTTGGTACATTGGGGGCAGCACGCTTGCACTTCTCGGGACGGCTTTGATGTGTAAGACCGTTCGCTTGACGCGCCTTTAAAGTATAGATGGCCTAGCTGACCCCTTTTGCAGACACGGTCGATGAAAACACGTCCAACGCGAATATCTATGGCTACAACATCCTCGTAGGAACGGGTACAGGATGCTATATCGTTGCCGGATTTGCTATAGTACAGTCTCTGGTTCCTGCTCGCGACATAGCCAACGCCATTAGCGCCATGGCAATAGCTCAAGATCTTGGGATGGTATGTTTCCTTGCCATCAGCGGCAGCCTGTTCCACAACATAGCCGTCGAAAAGGTTGGCAAGGCTCTACCAGAAGTCGCCTCTGCGGAGATCGGCAACCTCATTGCAGGATCAAGCAGTAAGGCTTTCAGGCGATTGTCTGAAGCGGAGAAAGCTTTGGTCATCCCGGAGGTTGCGAGCGCCATGAGTAGCGTATGGACTTTCTTCCTTGCTGCTGCTGCGCTCAGCGTGATATGCTCTGTGCCTTTGCTTGTGAGCAGTCCATAGAGCCTCCTCCCCCTTCGTTCGTGTCACTTTTCTAACGTGCGTCGCAGAAAGCTAAGCTTGGTGGAGAGAAGACTGCAGCAACAGTTGCGACGTAGAGCGAGTTGTGGTCTCTGGGGGAAATTGCCTGGAAGAAACCATCTTAGATTGGTTCCAATCTTCCCATAGGAACATCATTCAATTCACGATCAAGCACTACAACTTGCTGTCTTGATTTCCTCGATGATGTTTAGGAAGATGCATGTGCTGTGTATATACCCTTGTTTACATGCATCAGATAGAAAACCTTCGTTTCATGCCTGGCTCATCAATGATATTGACTCCGATGATTCGAAGGCCATCTTCGATGAGAACGCGTGATCTAGCTTGACGGAAGAGTAGCAGTACAAATTTGGGGATCGACCAATGGGAGGCAAGCGGCCGCTCCAGTCCGTCCCCACTTCAGAAGCGGCGCGCACGGCAACCATCTCACGAGTACTACCGCTACTCAAAGTTATGCGCTAAACCCGGATTCTAGACGGCAGTGACCTTGTGGCACTTGTGTATAGCGAACTGAACCACGTCTTCACCCATTGATCTTCGTTTTCAACTTCGAACTCGAAAGCTATATGGATATCAAATCTTGTACAATTTTATGCGACTCTGTCATCGATCAGATTCCTGACATGGCTTCTATGAGCAACAATCACATTGGTCTTCTTCCAAGTCGTCGCATGGGCAAGGGAACCAACATTGTGTAACATCTTCCACACGGTTACCAAACATCTTCGATCAGTTCTACGGGGTCGTTTGCCTAATGATGAACAACGTGTATGTGTAGTACAGAAACAAGTATGAGAATTTGCTGTGCGATATCGATAGGCGTCGACAAAGTTGAATGAAGAGATTTTATGCTGAGCACAGGCGAACAGGAGAAAGAAAGTGAGGATTATTTGTATTTAGGAGAGAAGATTAGGTTACAGGGACTACGTATGTGACGGACGCTCATGCTTGCCTTTGCAACGTTGAACCTCAAACTGTCATAAACGTGTATCTGGAAGGGCTTTGCGATAACACACCCATCTATTTCAAACGACTGCGCAAGGCAAAACGGTGATACGATCACAATTACTGGAGCTAGTTAAGACGTAAATCTACTAGGTGGCAATCACGCTCTTGACTTGGAGATGCAATTCTAAGACTAAACCTACAACAAAAACTGGAAAGCGATGATTTGGCCCTCTCCATGATCACAACTAAGCGAACGACATGATCATAGCAGGTTTATGTACAAGTGGCGACTGATAGTGTTATGAAACACGGACGACGGAGAGGCACTAGCAGCGGCTACGGGTCGCCATCAGATGTATCATCAGGCTTATGCGGGCTGGGCAAAGGTGCTACCGATGGGTCCGAACTTGATGTTTGAGAAGACCACCTGCGCGTTGGGGCTGGCGCTCTCAACATCGGCTGGCACGCCACTGGTGATGTCGCACTCGCCGCGAGCAATACCAGGCTTCTCCGGATCCTGGTCTGTCGGGTAGTTGCTGTCCAGCCAGAGCATGTTGGCGTAGTGGTCATCCCAGAGACTCATTACGAGTACCATACCCAAGTTCATACCCCTACCCATGGATGCCATGCCACCGAACTCGTTGAAGGGGTAGATCTCCTCCTGGAAAACTTCCTTCTGCGTGTTGCACCATTCCTGAGTGATGGAGTTGCCTTTCTAGTAGATTGTTAGAACCTATATCGCGAAACTTTGGAAGATGATCGCATACCATGCCAGGAATTGTTGGTTCGGGGTTGCTAATGACCTTGCCGTTCTGCACATAGAAACGCTTGATTTCAGTGAGTTGACCGGACCCCAAGAACTGCGTGACCACTGTCATCTTCTTCGACGTGTCCACCCCAGATTTGCCCTTGCCATAGAAGTCTTTCACACCGACACGGTATGGGTTGAAGTCACAACCATTCGCATCGCAGGTGCCAGCATAGCGGTCGAGCGAGTACGTACCACCGCATCCATCGTCTGTACAAACATTGTAGCCCTCGGGCTGGCAAGAATGCGGGGTCAAGGCCGTGGAAATGGAGTTCGCCTCCCAGATATCCATCTCGGTGCTGGGCTGCGTCAGATTGGGTACAGTCTAAGTAGGCAATTTCACTTACCAGCATGCGCCCTTCTTACCAATTCCGGCGTTAGGATCAGATTGAGATGCCTGCCAACCTTCTGCGTTCGCTTGACCATCGATGTACTTCAGGTCTCGAGCACATTGAGCATCACAGTATCCTGAGGGAAATTAGACTCTAGTCCATAAAGGTACGAAAGAATGTCCTACCAGTTCCGTACTTTGCGCCCGGGGTTCCATGGCCCTTCTGCGGCATGGATACGAAGTACAAGGCTCCATTGAGGCCGCATGGCAGCTGCGAGAGATCCACGTCGAAGGTGAACTCATTCCCGATAAGGTTAAACATCTATGTCGCAGAGAGATCAGATCGTCACTTCGTCGCCATTGTGCTTGAGGGGTTTTCTTACTTCGTAGTTGTTTGCATCCTTCATGAGATAGGTGCGCGATCCAATATTGGTGGAGTACTGGCCCTTGGTGATGAACTTGAGAGTAAGAGAGTTACCCGAAGTCGTGATGCCATATGTACCACGGTAATCCGAGCCCTCGATGGCACAGTTCTTTGTACAGGCTGCGTTGTCTGGACAAGCGGTGGTGTTCCATTCGTTTCCATCGAAGCAGTTGGTGTAGCCATTCACAGAATGGAGCCATCGCCAGTTGGCATCGATGACAATTTCTCCGTTGACGTTGGTACAGCTACTACCGCCTTTGCCTGTGCAGCGCTGCCAGGTCATCTTCGGATGGGTCTCCGTCTGCTCCTTGCCGATGACCCAGCTAGATGCGCGATTGGCGCAAAAAGCCAGAATTACCGCCACAGCATAAGTTGACAACATGATTGGTAAGGTAAATTTGAAGCACGATGTATGATTCGGGGTGTTACATCATGCCTGGATGATGCGATGCTGTCAACTTATACGACAAGTACACAGCATCAACCCTATCCATCCTCGAGTGCCCAAGAACAGATCGCATATTGCCCAGTCTTCAGATGTCCAAAGATGAGCTCATTCGATATGAAGAGCTGATCATGCGATATTTTTCCAACGGAACGATAGAGTCTTCATCCGCCTTGGGTGCTAGAAGGTCATCAACGACCACAGTCAAGCAGTCTCGTCGTCGCGTAGCCGAATTTCGAGAAAGCTGCTCAAATGACTTCCGTCTCGGCGATGTGCGATTCGTGTGGTCGTTGCAGTGTAGCCAAGATACCGTCCTTTTGTATATGGGGTCCACAGCCGTGGCGCTAGAAGCTGGGTGCGGGGTTAGCGTACGATAGACGAATCAAAGATAGTGTCTCATTGCATCAAGAGCGGAATGATAGCTTAGCATTCTTGGTGTCTTCCCCGGATTATTTGTAGTCTTGGATCTTGCTCAGGGTAATTTAAAGGCAGAAAATGGGCAGGGTATATCGCGCACGCTGCGATGTGTGGAATGCGGGGTTGTAGATGAATTGTGACTATTGTAATTCATTCCACTGGTCTCATTGGCGGGTCAAATACCTATTCGTTGGCATTCAGATCATGCCCTGCTTTAGTATCTGGGCGGCTTTAGTATGGGATCCAGCCTGGAATCTTGTTCCCCCATAATTCCACGATGCAATCCGGAGCCAACGAAGTGCCGCGATCTCATACGGGGAAAGATCCAAAGTGCCGAGAGCTTGGACTCCAGTGTTCGATATGACAGCTAATATGATGACCAACCATAACACCGTGTGATCGCAGGCATCTCGTCGTATTCGTAACTCAGAACGATAGGCTATGCAATAACTTTCGAGTATGGGAGTGTGCTACCGTCGGTCCTCATAATGTCGTTGCTGTCGTACACCAAGACAGGATGGCACTGAGCGGTACACGTAGGTCGACTGCGATCGTGGCCAGAGATTTGACAAATCACAATCGCTCTTTGTTTTTTGAGCTGGAGTCGCGATGTATATGCGCTGCGCCGATTCGTGAGAGGACGCATAGAGGGTTCGTACTGAGATGGTTCATCGCAGAGTGGGTTACGGCGCATTCCACATGTGAGAGAGATCTGCCATAGAGGTAAGCTAGAAGCTACGAGACTGTTACGGGATTCAGATGTGTTGCACTGTCGAACCTCAACTTAGGTCGGTCGTCGCGTTGTGTAGAACCGGTGGCCAGTCGTCGCGTCGCGGGAGATGGGCCTTCGCCCGCCTTGGCGTGACGCGTGGCGTCATCGTTCTCTTTATGATCACCTCTTCCCGCCACAGAATCTCAATCGCGACCCGTCCATCTTGTGCCCATGGCCGATGTTAATGATTCATATCCTCGACAGTTGATACACGAATGTACAAAGGTAAGCGCTTGATGCACCTACTACAGCCGGTCATACATGAGCAAGTCCACGGATGTCGGAGAGTTACTCAACAATCTATATTCGTCGCCAAACACTCTCAGCAGCACACCAGCTATAGCGCTCATGTTTGTGGTCGGAGTTGAATGTCACGATCATCCGACGGCTTCGATAAATCAACGGACATCGCTTCTGAGGGACATCCTCGAATCATGGGCTACGGGAGTGTATTGACCGTATCCGGGCATGAAGCCTGATCTCGGACGTATCGGTGCAAGATCTGCTGCAACCCCAGCTGCTTAGATGTCTGCGTATTAGTATGAACTCGAGTGGGGGCAGCTGCAATTTCCTTGCGATACCTTCACCTTTGAATCAAGCCCCGCATGTCACCACTGTTCTCCACATATATGGTCGCATCTTGAAGACTGCGCCATGTCTCCATCCTTCTACCTTTCCTCCATGCCGATCGTGGCGACCAACACTCCCTGGTTGTCTCACGTTTCCATAGTGGCAATCATTATTGGCTACCGAGTCAAGCTGATCTAACCCAATACAGCAGGCACACTATGCATTGCGCCCCTAAAGACGGTTTTGCGGACTTTTCCTCGAAACATAGACAATTCCGAAGAGCTATGGCGACCGTGTACTGCACATTTCCAGGGATTAGCCGGAAGTCTGGGTTCAATCCTGTACATGGAGACGGGTCAGGATATAAGACGCCCTCCATGGCCATGTTTATGAGGATAGGCCGCTTTCATCAATCTCAGTGACATCTCCTGTAGGATGAAGACCCTCACTAGATGCCTCACATGGGCAGGTGTGATAATTCCCTTCGTCGCAGCCCAGAACGCGAATGTCACGCTCGTCCCAGCAGCTACCGGTTTCGAGAACGATAACACCGAGTTCATCTACGGAAAATCGCCTCTACTGGTTGCCAACGATGGAAGTGCTGCCGACGGTGGCTTCCGGACATTCTCAGTCTCCAATACCTCGAGCTTTACTGAGAAATCGCACCAAAAGACTGGCCGCTCGAAGATCGCCGTAGCTGTCCAAGACGTTGGTGGCCGGGACTTGATCGTCAACATCCCGGCACCCGATTCGTTAATCAGGATCTTCGATGCTAAGAACGGAACGGAAGTCAAAAGCAACGATAAGAAGCAGCTGGGAGATTGGAGCACCGCTTGTGTATGGCGTAGCCAGAAGAGTGGGGAGAGCTACATCTTCTTGTTTGGAAAGAAGATGGTTGTACAGTTTTTGATTCGCAGTAGCAAAGCGCAGGTTGAGATTCTGGAGGTTTGACTGCTCTTTCGGCCTGTCAAAAAATGAGTACTGACGAAGCCATAGGTTCAGACATTCCCTGTTGCTATTGAAGGCGAGACTTGCGCCGCGTTTACGGATGGCCAGATCTACTTTTCGGCTGAGGACAAACCTTTGTACTCGTTTCAAGCATCCGAAACTACTCAGGCACCCGAAATCAAGACTGTGGTTGAGGACATTGAAGTAGCAGGACTTGCTGCCTACCACAGTGCGTCGACTGACTATCTGTTCGTAGCTCACGACGATGTCGTCGATGTGTACGATTCCGGTACCAAGCAGAAAGGAAGCATTGCATTAGGCGGTATTTCTGAACTCTCTATTAAGGGCTCACTTGCTATACTCCAATCTTCTGTGGCTGGTTACCCATCTGGCGCGATCGCATTTGCTTTCGAGGGAGAAGATAACACTGGGGTGGCTGTAGGCTCCCTGGACGGGGCGCTCGCTGCCCTGAGCATCAAGCCAAACACCCAATACAGTCCCGCGAACAAGGCTTGCAAGAAATGCGAAAGCCCCATTTCCAAGACGTGTTCTAGCAACGGCTTTGCATCTGGAAAGAGCTGTTCTTGTTTTGCCGGCTTTGCTGGCGACGACTGCTCCAGGTCCAGCTGCGAAAACGATTGTTCAGGCCATGGTAGTTGTGTCGGCCCAAACGTCTGCAAATGCGAAGGCGCTTGGACTGGTCCAGACTGCTCTTTCGTTGCAGTTAAAGCAAAATACGAGACTGAGGCCAACGGCGGAGACGGCGATGATCCCGCAATTTGGATACATCCGACTAGGCCTGACCAAAGGAAGATCATTACGACGACCAAGTCTGCAGAGGGCGAGGGCTTCGGTCTCTTTGACCTACAGGGAAAGCTTCTCCAACATTTGACTGCTCAGAAGCCAAACAACGTCGACGTCATCTACAACTTCACTCTCGGTACCCGGAAGATCGACCTCGCGTTCGCGGCGTGTCGCGGTGATAACACTATGTGGTGAGTAGCGTCGTAAAAGGTTCCCAAACATTTGCTAACGCACCGTTAAGCCTCGTTGAAGTAAACAGCACGGGTTACCTTAGCGACATCGCTGGCGGTGTTCAAACGCTGCCAGATGACTATGAGCCCTACGGCTCCTGCAACTACCATTCTCCGACCTCTGGCAAAGAGTATCTCTTCGTCAACAACAAGGAGGCCCAGTACCTCCAGTACGAACTCAGTGCCACCGCTAACGGCACCTTGCAAACCACCCTCGTCCGCCAGTTCCAAGGTGGCTCAGGCGGCCAAGTCGAAGGCTGCGTTGCTGACGAAGGCGCTGGCTATCTCTTCATCGGCGAAGAACCACTTGGCATCTGGCGCTACGAAGCAGAACCTACTGGCTCCGATAAAGGTGTTCAAATTGCCCAGATAGGCGACGCGAGCGGACTTCATGCAGACGTTGAGGGCATTACCCTTGTGCCAGCCAAGTCGGGTCCAGATGGCTACATCATCGTGTCCTCGCAGGGTATCTCAGCATATCTGATCTATGAGCGCGCACCGCCTCACAAGTACGTCGAAACCTTCACCATCGTCGACAACAAAGAGAAGGGTATCGATCACGTTAGCAACACAGATGGATGTACTGCTGTCGGTAACGCGCTGAACAAAGATTTCCCGAATGGATTGTTCGTCACGCATGACGATGCTAACGAGCTGGCCGAAGGAGGTACAGCGGCAGAAGCAAGTTTCAAGTTGGTCAGTCTTGTTGATATCTTAGGAAAGGAAAGGGCAGCGAAGTTGGGGTATTAGAGGCGGACAGTCTTCTTAACTATACCATACAGACATTTGCTTGGCTATCCGTTCTATAACACTCCAGAGTACAGCCTTCGAGACATGATGGCTGATGCAAAGATCGCCGTCAGCCGATTCTATAGGTCAACAGTGCCGCCATCCTAATAGTTACCACACCCACTCTTTCATCATGATGCATGACCCTGTTGGTTCAACACGGTTACGCCTCCCGCTCATTCAGGTCTTCAGACTCTCCAAGAGTCGACAAGTCGCCCAAATGAGCCTCAAGACACTCCATCTCGGCCTGGGCTTCCTCTTCTTCTTTCTTCTTTTGTTCACGCTCCCTCTCAGCCTCCTCGTCCCTCATCTGCAACTCGCCCAACCACTGTAGTCGTCGCGCGCGATCCTTGTAGGTAGCGCCCAAGGCCTCATCATCAAAGTGCTGGTACGACATTTGTGCTGCATTGTTGGTCAGCATAAGGACAGAAAGAGTGAGGTATATTACTTACCACGATGACGCTTTTGGTAGTGATTACCAAGCGAAAACTCGTACTCCCAAGGATCAAAATGTAGATTCGGCCAGAATTCGGTAACTGGACTGCGGTGCCTGGATACACTGTGTGACTCATCACCAAACTCCCACTCCGTGTTGTCGCCATACATCTCCGCTACGATGGTTATGTTGCCGCGTCCGCACGTGTCCGCATAGCCACGTAGCTGCGCAAGTTCAGTATCGCGGATCAAACTAGCCATGCCTTCTTCATCTGATGTGCTCCCATAGCTAGTTTCTGCACCAGCTTGGCCGGTGGGGACATAATAACGAATCTGCCAGTTTGTCATGGTGTCTTTGGCGAGCAGGTCAACGAGGTCTCGCATAGCAGCGATAGGTACGCAAGGATGTTCGACACAGATCTTTGGCCACAACGAGAATATATGGTCCAAGTGCACTGTTGCATGCCGCTTTCCGAGCCCATGTTTGATGTATAGGTCCCATGACTGCGGCATGTATTGCTTGATGGCTTGGTGAAGGGTGTCGAGCAAGGTGGAAGGGTTATACTCTCCATTGGAGTCATGGAGACCTTTCACGCGGTATCGGCGCGCTCCAGGACCATATTGCAGTGTATATACCTGTAAATCCATCTGTGCCGATAGATCGATATGCAGGTGAAAGTGGACGTTCATGAAGTCCACCACTGACGCTGCAATGGTGTCTGTGGTCTCTTTGCTCAAGCCGTAGTCTTCCTTCAGCACGCCTCCGTAGTTAAACTGCATTCCAGCCATAACGGGAACATACGCCACTTGCTTCTCGACGATGTAGCTCCGCGCCTCCTGGTAGACTTGCGAGCATGTTTGTAGAAGAGTGACCAAAGGGTCAGGCTTGTTGAGGTGGTACCGGTTTAGAGGCACACGCTGGTATTCCTTGTTGAGGGCGAGGCCGTAGATCTCGTTTCGCAGTTCGCCAGAGAGATCGAAGAATGTCTTGCGACCTGGAACGAGCGGCTTTGCGTCTTTGTGCACGATGGTCAAGCGACCAATTGTGGCTGGAGTGTCGACCGGCATCTCGGTTTTCGGGTCTGTCAAGTGCTGTTCCGTAACGAAGACTGCTTTGCTACCCATGATGTCAGCAAGCTATTTGTAGGTTTACATTCACGAGCAAATTTGATCGCAAAAGAGGTTCGGTACGGTGTTTCAATGGTGTAGTGGAGTTCGAGCAGAGCTGTAGGTATTGAAGGAAAACTCTGTCGATGAAGTGAACGTCGAGAGGCGAATCACAGTATGCCCGCATGAGACCCAATCTGAACGATGAGGCGCTTCACAGTGAGAAGAGATTCACGCGCTGTAAGACGTGTCATCACGAATCAATCTACTAATCACCGGCTTACAAAAGCTTTGTTGCTAATAGGTTTATTCTTGCGGTCGCGCCTTTCAGTTCGCGTGGTGATGGTCTAACCCCAGGTGTGACACTTATTAAAGATCGTAATAGAAGAAGGATTAGCGCCGGACGCGAGATATCTCACGCTGGTGTACCCCAGACACGCTTGTGAAATAGGTCACTAGACGTGTCTTGCTGGCTCTATCAAGATGATCAACGCACTTACTGCTTGGACGCTAAATTCCCATCTGTGGGTCGGACATTCATCCGCGAATCTCAACCGCTAGCGCAAGATCTACTAAACAGGAAATGCCTCGAGCCCCGCCATATTGCTAGCCAATGTGGCTGTTCACTCACAATCACTACAAAGCCTTCCTACGTCACCCACACCACGCCCACCTTTCACTTTCCACCTTCACCTCATCCCGCACGTACCCCATGACCGGCAGAACCACGGGTCCCAGCGTGAGCACAGATATCCGGCCCAGCTGTTCTTCCGATCACGTGCTAGCGAAGCGACAGCTCCCTTCTGTCTATATAAACAGCGGATCCTACCTCCCTCCTACACCCCACACACCACTTCTCTAGGCCTTCTTTACATTTCCCGCTTGGAAGAGAGACTCACCAGCAGTGGACGCATTGCTGGGTATCGCTTGGATGCGAGTCATCGGACGTCGCGAGGAGGAGCGCGTCTCACGGTGCTTGGTCGCCGTGTTCCCATAAGCTTTTTCATTGATGCGTCTGGCTTGCCAGGACATTGAGGAAGGAGATGAGTTGGAGCGAAGTGAAGTAAAACAAAGTTACATAACCTTTTGCATAGTGTGTCTGAACATGGCGGAATGAGTCGAACACAAGCTCAGTGATGTAACATTCTATTTTGGACATCTTTCTCCATGTTGTAGACACTGAAGAAAGACGCGTTACCTAGTAAAATACTTTGTCGCTGTCATCATAATAATCCATGGACCGTGGCTCGTCTGTAAACTCCAGATTATTCCAGAGTTTTAATCGGGCTTCATCACCATCGCTACCAGCCAAACTCCTTACTATCTCCTCAATCCTCCCCTCGTTGAGTCTTGTATCCCAGGCTTTAGCCGAGTCATATTGCTTACGAAGAAACTCAACGGTAGAGTCAGGTGCTCCGGTCCTCTCTTGCCATGCATCTAATTCTGCTGGCACGTGGTCGTATTCGGCGATATAACTTTCATACTTCGCGATCCAGTGGCTTGCGAGGGCCTCGAATGATGCAGGAGGTAGGAGGTGTTTACTGTTTTGGGCGCAGTAGGCGTAAGCGTCGGCACGAGATTGTTGGTATGCCAACTGCAGCCAGTATCGTTCGAGGTTGAGCTGGGAGATACACCTCGAGAGCAGATCTGGATGCAATTCACGCTGCTCACACATTATCGTGGCGTTGGGCTCTAGTTGTGCTTTTGTGTATGTATTCTCCAGTTTCCGGAACTCCCATAGGATCAGGTCTTCTTGAACACATACACCGTTTGAACATAGCCGCTGGATGAGCTGTTTTGCGTCTTCGAAGTCGCTTTCTTGTCGGCCGACCTCGCGTCTTAAACTCCCTCCGAAGAGCATATTTCTCCACAGCGAGGGACCGTCGGTCAAATTTCCGGTTTCGAGATCTTTGAGTTCGTCTTCATATTGTCGTAGTTTTCTTTTTCCATGATAAATATTGAATAGATCATCCGGATTGTCCTTGTGGTCCTTGATTTCTCGGAAAGCACCTTCTGCTCAGCCTCGTCCTGATGGCTTGTGCTGCGCCCGAATGAAGTCGGATCTGCACTGATCAACGTCGAATTGATCAGGCCAGCCGTTTTTCAGTAATAGAGCTGATGTGATATTGCTGGGCAGAACGTTCTGTTGATGTCGGGAGTCCATCGTCTCCGACGTCTCCCACGGTGACCATGCTCTGCTCAGATACGCGTCTCTGATCCTCTTCAAGAACGTTGGTGCATCGGTCCACTCTCTCCAGTCACGGCTGTGCCTATCTACCGACAGTTGCCCTGTTGTGTTTTCGCCTCCAAAGATGGGCATGTCATTTAAACCATGTTCTCGCCCATAACTAACGTATGATAAGTTTGGCGAGAACTCACTATAGCGATGACTATAGGGCCACCACTCCTCACCCTCGTAGACTCTTATCATATGCTTCCTAGTGTCATATTGCAGTTTCCAAGTCCTGTAGTGATCCCGGTCCTCCCAGCCACCTTCGGTCAAATGGACTATTCCTGGTCTTATGACATATGCGAAATCGTCCTCTACCCAACTCGCATCACAAGCGACATTCAAATCACGATCCTTCCGAAAGTCGATGAATGTACCGCCCCAAAGCCAAGAGTCGTGCCCAGATAGGCTAGTGTTGACGTATGGGAGGATTTCCATCAAGCGGAAGTCGGCTGCGTCGAGCTTGCACGGACTGGCTGTAGTGTTGATCTGATGAGGACCACGCTCGATGGAGTCATGCGGGATGAAGGATGTTTTGGCCAGGACGGTGTAGATCTCTTCCATCAAGGTAGCGACCTCTTGGAGCTGGTTTTCATCGTAGGTATCAACGGTCTGGATATCGAGGTCATTGTTATCGATTGACGCTAAGCTTGTGGCTGCGAAGGGGTTGTAGATGCAGCGTAAGCCCAGAAGCACGGTCAGTACGACAACAAACACCACTAATGGGTCTCGATATCGTTTTCGCGTGGTAGAGATGCAAAGAGCTTCTGGATGTGGGTTTTCGTGATCCTGTTTAACTATTGGTGACGACATGGTGATTTGAGGGTTCGGAAAGCGGTTCCAGTGATTCAAGACGACACATGATGAGACGGTGAGCGGATTCTGCCAACATTTTGTACGAGTTTTGAGGACAGCTGTAGAGAAGGTAGATGGCAGGAGGCCTGACGCGGTTTGACACGCTTGCACGTGCGCGCGCCCACATTTTCGACGATGCGTGGGCAGGAACAGGGCAGCCCCGCTACAGGCAACAGTATTCCGAGCTCGATACGACACCTGTCACCCAATGTTAAACCTGGAAGAAAGGGTCTGGGTCTAAACAGCTGGCAAATTTGGTAGCAACATGTCTGATGGGGCCTCATTAGGGAAATTGGATCAGTTACCGGCTGAAATGCTCGAGTTCACGCTCCTCAAGACGTCAGGCTCGCTTGCACCACGACTCGGCCGCCTGTCGTTCCCCGGACGCAAGAGCATTCTTACACCCGCCTTCATTGGCAACACGTCACGAGGCGTCATCCCTCATGTGTCGCAAGACAACTTCCGGAGCAGCGCCGATGTTGGTGGGGTATATGTCGCGCTCGAGGACTGTACGTACTTGTGCGAACAGCGCACGCCCTCTCTAACCGCTGGCAGTCATTGAGAAGCATCCACACAAGACTCCCCCGATCTTGAAGTATGACGTCCCGGAGCCTTTGCGCAGGTTCATCACCCTCCCCGACGACACGCTCTTGATCCTAGGGGCGCGTCGCAACCCGCCCATCCCGAGCCCCCACTCGAATTCCAACACGGAGATACGCATCTTAACGTCGGTCGGCTTCACGACTGTCAGCTCCGAATACTACGCTGCTGCTGCACGGAAGCTGCAGCCAGACATCGTGGTCGGGCTGGGGGACATACCATGCGGGCAAGAGGCCATCAGTTTGAAGCGGAAAGACAAGATGAGCGACAGGACCGAGGTATGGCTGCGCGACATTGTGGCCAAGCAGGGTACTATTGAGAAGGGAGAGAAGGCATGGAGCATATTCGCGCCCATACTGCCCATCGAACGCGACTTACAATCATGGTATCATGAGCACTTGTTGGATGACATGGTGGACAAGATCAGTGGCCTCGCCATATACGACGCATATCTGCTCGATGAGCTGCCCGATCAGCTGCACCACCTTCCACGGCTATCTTTCCACGTCCCTGCAAGCCCACATGAGCTTCTGCGCCATGTCAGCTTAGGCGTCGACGTCTTCACCGTGCCCTTCCTCGCAGACGCGACCGATGCAGGCATTGTCCTCGACTTCACCTTCCCACCGCCCGCCCGAGATACAAACACAAGCGCGCGCCACTCTCTGGGCATCGACATTTGGAGCAGCGACCATGCCCTGTCTGTCACCCCATTATCCCAAGGCTGCAAATGCTACGCCTGCACCAAGCATCACCGTGCCTTTCTTCAGCATTTGCTTGCTGCCAAGGAGATGCTTGGTTGGGTGCTTATCCAGCTGCACAACCACGCCATACTCTCTGCCTTCTTCGCCGGTATTCGCTCTTCCATCGAAGCCGGCACCTTCGACGTCGACGCCGCTGCTTTTGAAGCCTACTATGAGCCTACCCTCCCCGAGAAGACCGGCCAAGGACCGCGCGTCAGAGGATACCAATTCAAGAGCGAATCGCATGATCCCAACAGGGTGAAGAAGAACCCTAGAGCTTTCAAGAAATACAGCGAGGATGACATCCTGAGGTTAAAGGCAGCTCATGGACAACAACCAAATGATAAACCTGCAATGCGGGACGTGATTGATGATGAGGCCCTATTAGGCTTGGTGGAGATGGAACAGTCCCCAGTCGACGCAGACCCGGCTGTGCAATTGAATGGCTTGAGATTGGAAGACGATAAGAGAGCCTAGCTCATGCAGGTATTCCCTTAGATGGCCAAGTACATCGCCCTCCTGTTACAAACGACCTCCCACTTTCCGCTTGACATCCCGTCCATTGATTGCATATATGCTCACATTCGCAAGCTTCATACTCCTTTGCCCCGCACGCATCGCCAAGACACTGCCACCCTTGGTGTACCTGCGGCTATTGCATTTCGAATTGAATACAATCAGCTGGAACATGTTTCGTATGAGCGTCGTGTGCACTAATGCTGGATTCGGATCGAAAATGTCCACATGCATCCAAACAGTTATGTCGTCGTCGCTGGGAACTCCCTCGCCCCAATCTGTCGACATTTGATATATGCCCTTTTCCAGATCGACTATGACGGTGCCAACGTTTAACCACATGTTATCCATTGAGAGGACTGCTTCGTGGCCCATGTTGCAGGTCACTTTGAATGAGATGTTGTCAGCGAAGGTTGTGATCCGGTCGTCGGCCGATGTTTGCTGGTCATGCGTGGCGTTGTCTGGTATCCTGGCATTGAGGGTTGCTTCTGCCTGCTTCGACACGTCTTGGTCGATGTTCTTTTTCGGCTCTCCTAATCTGGCACCAGGAACGGTGTTGAATAACGATGGTAATTGCAAGGTAACATTGACCTTCTCCGCACCGTCGTGTCCGTCGGAAACTTCCGACAGATATGATACGTCGTTGAGGCTGGTCGGCATCGAGACTGAGTGACTAGCCCAAAAGAGAAGAAGAAGATGAAAGATCATCTTTTCGTAGAATAGTAGTGCTAGGTGATCGAGTGTAGACATGTCACTGTCAGGTTTTATGTATAAACACACTGTGTGACAATCTCATAGCTATAGTGCTCCTACAGCACTCTAAATACTGACTGGATGTGCACTATACTCGTGTTATCAAGCGTAACTACCCTAGTGGTGTTCACGAGTTTGTGCGACACGTCGAAGGTGATGGTGCAACGGCTACAGTGACTCCAGCGCCACTTCGGGTAAGAATCGACCATCGCAGAGGTCACTTGCTGCAAACTGTCACAGTCGCTGCGAGTGCTCGATTGTCTGCTTATTTCTGCGTGTCACTTCCTACATACTGACTGAAAAGATCCTCTACTACTGCTTTACAACTAAGATCTGTCCAGGTGATTCAGCAACAAGAACGAATTCCTAAACCTCACATCACACAGTATCACTAGAGATGTGCAAAGCATCCGAATAGAAACCCCTGAATCAGTGTTACTAAAAACGATGCAGTGCATATGTGCTGCACAACTTCTTTCGCGTAAACGGCAACAATACACGTCGCGCGAGGTTCGAGGCATTTGTGGCACTTATCACAGTCGTGGCTTGAAGCTCTCATCATACTTACGAAAGACTTCGAGTTTAGACGTATCACAAACCCATATATTGTAGTCAACTAAAAGTTCCAAACCGAACGTGAATGACAAGCTAACAATCCTTCGCCACGCTATCATGCGACAGCAATCCACTATTGATCTCCCTACTCAACCTTGCTTTCACCAGTGTCAAATTCCGAAATCTTCAGTCGCCACTTGCATCACTTCGAGCGGGTATTTCATGCTAGATCGCATTTAGTGGATGATATTCTCGCACTTCCAGCAATGGAAATGCGCACACGATGTGCATTGGGCAGGGTGGTCGTTTGCGACATTGTCGTTACCGCATTGATGGCAGTTCCAGCTGTAAGCTACAAAGTCGGCTAGATATTGGATGAGAGAGCTGAGTGACATGTCGATCTTAATGCGATGTTGATTGTGTGAAAAGGGTCAGTGTTGATGTTTGTGCTTGAGTTTGAGGACAAACATTTTATAGTAGAGAGTGAACAAAGTTCTCATGAACAGTGTTGATGGCTAATACAGTGTGATAGGATCAAGCTCATGGGGTGTGAATGCACCGTGCTAGTATCTTGGATGAAGACGCCTCTGGAAAAGAAGCGGACAAAGATTTGCTATTACTGTGTTGCGACTATCTCCGCACACTTCTCGGGGTATCTTCTCATACGTCCTCCGGCATTGGATTTTCTCAGCGCAGTATTCTAATTAGCGGTGCCATTTCTTTCAGGCTAGGGATTCGTTGGATTTCCCTGCTTTTTTTCTTTTCCTCAACCCAGGCAGTTGAATCCGTCGAATTTTACCGAATCCATGCGTTGGACGATCGCGCTCAGAGGAATCACCCTGCTGTTCTTGGTGCACACTCGTTTGCGCTCCGTTGCGCTTCTCCCAGAACGTACGAGAAGTATAAAGGCTCAAGTATTCGTTGAATCTTTGCACATTGATCAATACAGTGAATGTCAGGAACAATGTAATGACAGCTGTAACCACCATTCCTTTTATGCTTTCGCTACGAGGAGATGAATCGGCCATGCTCCAGATTCCTGTAGCGAATCCAAGTGGCAGAAATACGGCAGTGAGGAACGTGAAATATCGAATGTTCTCTGCGTTCTGAAAGCTCAACTCGTCTCTTGTGGAATCGAGCCCGCTTGAGAGAGAGACTCTTAACGACTGGATGGTGGCTAGGTGATATCGCAAGTCTCGAATCGCATGCAAGTTCTCATTTGTGAGCTTGGTGATAGCAGCCCGGTATCTTCCTTCGTCGTTCTTTGTCCATCGCGGCTCTTCAGGTCTTCGATCTGCTTTACGGGTGTTCCATATGTCAATCTTCTCCAAGACTTCCTTGAGATCTTCCTCAATAACTTGGAGAGAATATTGTAAGGCCGGCCATGTCTTACGGAACACCAGATAAGCACCATTGTTCATCTGTCTAGAGAACAGCTCGTTCGAGATGGATACTATGTTCCCTTTGACTTTCTCTTCTTTGGTATTCTTGCTATCTGTTCTCGCCGTGTGAACAAACAGCCGCTCTAGCTGTTGGCCTATCTCCCCTATGATTTCATCGTATCGCTGCGTTAGCTCCCGAAGCATTCGATCGAGCAGAAGGAGTTCCAGCACCTTGCGCTGCTTCCATGGCTCCTTTTGTTGCTCAAAGTCCAGCTTCAACTCCTTCAGCTTGAGCATCTTTTCAAGCTTCTCAGTGCTTTCTGGCTCGTCCTCAGGAGTCAAGCCCGTCCATCTGAATGAGGGCGAAACAAACTCCGGCTCGGTCTCAAGAGCGTGACAAGTCCAATAACGATCGAAGAAGTCACCTACAAACCGAAATCCCGCACCTGCTCTTTCTATCAGTAAGTCATTGTTTCCTAGAAACATCATACTGGCCCTTTTGCCAGTCCTTGTCTGACGGATAAGTCGGTAGGATGAAAGGTGCAGCTCGGTTGTCCACAAGTTCGCAGCAGCAGTCACTTCATCGGAGAAGTATTTGGCCTTATTGTTGTGCCTTCCAAAGAAAAGGTTCAACGAATCTGACTCATCATCAGCAGATGTGATGCAGCAGAATCTCTTAGTATCTGTGTCGGGATTCGTGATCCATATGAGCCGTTTCTTGCTGTTATGTACTGAACGCTCTTTTCTAAGCTTGTTGTACATGTCTTCGTTATCCAGCAGTTCAACATTAACTAAAGGATCTTCGTATTCCTTGCTACGGTCAGTCTTTGGGATGTCGATGATGACGCCATGCGGTATGGCAGTCGCGTCTTTGTTCTTGACAGTGTCCTCGACAGGTACAGTGTCTTCAGCAGACAATTCAGAATGAAAAAAGCTTGGAAACCTATAGAGCCATTCATCTGACAATTCAACAATGCTTTGTTGAACAATGACGTTATTAAACGGTATCCTTTTCTTCATCGTCATTTGAGTCGGGTACAAATCTGAAGCTAGTGAACTTGCAGGTAAATCTTTCTGACCTTGGGCCAGAGCATCATTGAATTCCTTCTGGATTTTAGAAAGAATAATGCTCACATCCCTCTGAGTGTGGGCAGGAACATTGCTCAGATCTTTCTGAACTTGGACAGGAATGTTGATCGATTCCTTCTGAACTTGAGCAGAATCCTTGCTCAAGACCGATTGAAATATGTCGGAGTCTCGGCATTCCCAAAGTATGTAAGGAACTTCGAAAGTTCGATGCCAGTAATGGTCCCTCCATTTTTCCTCATAGGACATCTCAGGCTCCTTAGTCAAAGGATCCAGTGCACCTGGGAAGAGCCCATTCGCAGACGAGCTCTGTAGCAATAAATCTTTTGCGGCTATGCAATCGATTGTCTCGCGCATGATATCGAGCGTGTATCGCAACGGATTACCCCGGCCAAAATCTTCAGACTCCTCGTGAAATCTCTGCACGTTCATGGTAGCTTTCCAGAGAGCATCGTACTTCGAGAAGAACGTTGAGTTTTCTTTGTAGAGTAATGCGGTATCTCGAGAGTGGAGATAAAACCTGTTCTCGACGGGTGATCGTGCTACAGCAAGCATCCTTTGCTTAGAGACAGGATTCTCAGTCGTGAACCGTCTCAAGACGTGCTTTTGAAACATATCTGGAGAGTATTCTGCATTCAAATTGCTCTCCACCTTCTCAAAGCTCTCTTCGGATGCTTCACGCCGGCGTCGCGTTGATCGAAGCTTGAAATTGCCGAGCTCGTTGCCCCGGACCATGTCCTTGACGGCGCTAAGGGCTCTCCACATCCAAACGTGATCGTCCAAGCGGAATTCGTTTAGTGTTGTAGGATCTGTCTTGGGGCGAGGGAATGCATAAAACCCTCGAGCGTTGGCAGTTTCGAGTACCTGAATCCAGTTGGTCGCAAGAGCCTTGAGCTCTGTCAAAAAGACACCGTCCTTGTCCAACTTGAATAGCCTTCCGTAATTAGCAAGCTTGATCAATTGGAATGGTGTATCGGTCAAAGATTCTGCGGCCGTGTCGGAGTTCGAATCACCTTTGATGATTAGTTTACCAGTCACCCAATAATTGGCTCTAAAGCACCCGTCGACTTTTTCAGCCTGTTTCAGCCAGGCTACATGCCCTCTGCATACTTTCTCAATGCGCTTTTGTAGATTTTCGACGTGAATGCCTTCAAAGGCAAATTTTTGGTCCTCGCTGGACGTTGTTGGTGGGATTTGGGCAAACGCAGTTTGTTGTATCGAACTTAGATGTCTGTACATCGATAAGAGAAACTGGAAAGTGAGACTGTATTGTCAATTATGTTGCAATGAAGTAGCTCAGGGCGACTTACAAGCTTGCTGAGTTGACGATCCGATGTCCCGATATATCTCCACATGTGAGAGCTATTCCGTCCCGATCGGGTTGAGGGGTCGGAATACTGCAAACCGAAAGTATGTGTTCCAAGTTCCGTCTCATGATGAAATCCATATGAACATTCCGCGATAATTCCAATCTGGTGAACGAAGCTTCTCTGAGCATCATGTGCATGGCGCAGAGACTGTCTTGAGTAATGGGGAAACTGTTACCGTCCCAATCTTTGTCACGAACCAAGATCTTGTAACCCACAGTGATTTGGAGAGGATGACCTTTTACCACAAAGAATTCTGGAGAGTTCACAACTATGACAGGATCATCGTAGTTGTTACTGAGCTCAAGCTTTTGGGCTACACCATTGATAAACATGGAGACAGCCAGGAAGACGGAATCAAATTTTTCCCATTCTTCACACTCCTTGTCGTTCCGGAACAAGCCCTCATGTTCAAGTATGAATCCGTAACCATCTTCACTAATTCGATACGAATAGTTCTTAGGGAATTCGTCATCGTTGAATGAATACGCAGTATCGATGAAGTCCAGGTCCCGTATCAGCAGTTTCGCTGCCATAGTGATGTCCAATCCAGACGAATAATGGATAGGGTCTGATTTCGTCGACCACTGATATTGCTGGAAGATAGCACCTTGGAATGCGACATGTAATACTTCGGCTGTGACGCGTTCATATTCCAAGGTAATGAGTGGCCATCGATCATGGATGAATTCATGCCTTGTTTGAGGAGACTCGTAGAGACTCAAGTCCGGACTGAATGTATACGCGCCCCCACTTTGTCCATTGACCTCACGAGCGCTCATAAGTTGTCTTGCCCGTATTCGGACCCAATAAGGCTCGAACGTGTCAGGAAGATCCAAGCAGAAGAAGCCTGAGCGACTGGAACCGTGGGTCTGGGAGATTTGTATGAGATCTCCGAATGCGTTGAGACTCGCTGTTGTACCGCTATCCCCAAAAGATACATATGGATGTGTCTCAAGGTAGTATTGTTTTTCGTGTGACTCTTGTTTGGGCATTGACGTGCAGATACCCGGGCTTAAGTTATCTGGTCTCGATTCTTAGAGACTTTCGCTTGAGTAGAAATGTTCAAACAAATTTACCAAGAAGGGAATTGCGGGTGTCAACTCTACTAGAGCAAAAGAGGATTTGAGATTCCACATGGCTTGTGTTCTCGGGATCATGTTCGCTCTTCGAAGATGCATGTGATACCGAGCTCGAATGAGGCTGGCCTTGGAAGCTAGGACTTCTGTCCATGTCTTAAATTGCCATTGGAGGGAAGAAGAACAATGCCGGAAATACAACAAGACTGGAGCGCAGCAACGTCGTAGAGCAACGAGGCTGAAGAGCAACGAGGCTGAGGAACGTCAAGGCTTGATTGTGGGCGACACAATCGGAGGACCGACATCCGTCTTTGAGTCGAATGCATCGCGTTCAGGGCTGTTATTAAATAGACTGAAGACCCAGCAATCTAACCGAATATGAGCGCCTGCCTTTGTCTAGCTTCGCATGTCTCATTTGGCGTCCACTGATCTGGAAAAGGTGGTGTTGCAGCTCCGGCTTTCTTTTTCGCTGACGAATCCTCGAATCATGAAGGATTGCATTACATGCAAGTGAGATTGACACTGCACTCTTAGCGCCTACACGCCCCACCTCTGATTGAGTTGACGCACGAAGCAGTGCGAGAGGTGCATTGTTTGCTGCGAATGGCTTAGCTACTTCTGCTTTCATAGCTGCCGTTGTGGGTACGCGGCTCGTATCGCAGATAGTGTATGCATACGAACCGAGGCTTGTAAGACTGAGTTGACTATTGGCAGATCAATACCAAAATGCTCGATAGTGTATGACAGATGCGCAACAGATGTTGCGTATGCGTTCGGTAGCATACGAACATGCAACAGCCGGTCAACATACTAACGTAGTCATAACACATCCTAAAGGTATACGTTGTGTTCCAGGTTAATATAGTGGGAAACGTAACTTGATGTATCTCTGTAGAACAGACTTTGTACGGTCGGTGCAATTGATGATAGGTAAGCTCCTTCGCACATTTTTGCACTAAGGCAAGCAGAGTTCAGGCGTCCATATACAAGCAGGGGCCGTTACATTGCTGACAGGCGAGCGCTTACTGCAGGAGATATTAACCGTATGGTTATGAATGATATAGCATCAAACACGTCGCCGTTCCAATTGCTTCCTCGACTTGCGCATTCTCTTGTTGGGTCTCGATTTCTTTTGCAGTTTGTCTTGTACACCATGACTGATCTCATTTCCGTCGAGGAACCCACGAAATGGGGCAAAGCCACCGAGACCTCAGCAACTCGCTACAGTCGCACCAATGCACCGCAACATGGCTTGGGCAATAGCCTCAGCACCATGATGAAGATATCAGAAGGCCAACACGTCCTTGTAACCGCCTGCGGCCCCGGAAACGACGCTCTCGCCATCGCGCAAATCGTAGGCCAGTCCGGGAGAGTCGTAGGTTTCGATCTAGACAAACACAGCATCGACCGGGCCCGGGAGGCTCTAGAGAAACACCCAGACCTCAAGCCATATGTACAGTTTCATGTCGCCGACGCGCACGATCTCTCCATGTTCGCAGGACAGACCTTCGATGCCATACATTGCAACGCGTCATATCACTGGTTCACCAACAAACCTCTTTTCCTTGCGCAAGTTGCGACTCTCGCAAAGCCTGGCGCAGTTATTGGTATCGCGACCCAAGACCGCAACTTCCAGCCGCCCATGCTGGATATTCGAACCGAAGTATTGGCGGAACTCGGTGAGAATGCAACTGACTTTATATTCCATCCGAATCCAACGGAAATGCGACGTGACCTGGGCGACGCTGGATTCGGCGATGCGAAGCTATTAGGGTACTACGGCACGTATGTGCTCGAGAGCGCGGAGGCGATGTGGAACTGGGTGAATGACAGCTCGGGGAATCGATTCGGTAATTATTTGGAGGAGGGGAAGAGGGAGCGTATGAAGCAGATGATGCTGGACAGGTTCGGTGGGTTGGCTTTGAAGGACGGAAAGGTGGTGATGCAATTCAAGCACATTGTTGCAATGGGGTACTATGGTCATTGATGTGTCAGTATTTGGCTCAGAAAGACATTCAAAGCTCACTCAGATTCAAAGCTAAGAAACGTGTTAATATACGCCTCATGCGTTTGCCATCTTTGCATTTTGTGACATCAGCGTCGGGCTCTAACAACGTAACAGCCTCCGTGAGAACTGAGGTTGGTGGACGTTCATGGTATCGCGGTCTATGCTCGTATGTTTGTAACATGGCAGTTGATACATAACAATGCGTTATGATCATGTTCCAATAGCATGATAAAACGCACACGATCCGGACATGGGTTGGTGGATCTGTGATGGTTGGGGAGTAGAAGCCATGACGGAGGAGAGCTCGCTTTGGAAACGAAGCCAGCCTGTGCGCCGCGGCCCCGCCACCTTTCCTCTTCGCCAACCCGCTACCGCGTTTCTACACGACCTCCACCCATCGATAGCGTACCTCTTGTCTTGTAACTAGCATCAGCTGCACTTCTTCTTCCTTAATGGCGATTTCGCAGTTGCTTCCACGAAAATCTGCAGACAGTCGCCCGGATGAAGGGCACTTTCGAAATTTTGGATCAAATGACAAGTAGAGTCATGGCTGACGCAAAGCTGGATATCAAGTCCCCAAGATACGTTTACTGATTTGGGGAGAATCTGGCCCCATATCGTATGATCGGGGTATTTCCAAATTTCGCGGAACATGTTGTTAATGACCCAATCGTCTTAGTTTGCCCTACAAGTGCCAGCATACCATTCTCCATCACACCTGACGAGCGCACATAAAGTGCAGCACATCGAAAAATCTCCCTTCCCAGAAGATGGCGTTGTCGATCTGCCAGCGAACACTCCAGAAGGTAATGTAGTAGTTGGCCTCCACGCTTCCGTGAAGAACTCCCTCGGTCTCTACGTCTTCGATCCTGCTGGACATTGTGCTGTCGGATGGTGTGATGCCACCAGCATATGCATATCGAAACCGGATCTGTCCAGTCATTTTTTTTCATGACAGATACTTTATTCTTCGCTCTTGTTGTAGCTGTTTTAAACTCTGCCTCCAGAGCATCGAGATCTCAATCGATTTTTCTAAGCACATGCTCGATGTGGTGATACGACGATTTTTGATACTCTCTTCGAAGCTTCCTTTTAGTGGTACCATGTTCTTCTACCTCGTCTATCATTAGGAATACAAGGCAGACGCCTCACGCACGTTAAGGAGCTGACTTCACTCTAGTAGGCTTCACCTGCATTTGTCTTGCAAGGTCAAAGGCGGCGACAAAGATAGCGATGCAGCTAGCAGCTGCAGGTGGTCTTGAAGGGGTTTGATATGTGCAATGCGAAGTAATGCTAAGCAGCCTGCAGGGGGAATTCATGAGCGATAGGCTCGGAAAGATACGTCTTGCGTGGACTTTCAGTACTGATTGATTCCAGATACGAAGGACGACTTCACTCATCGCCTTCTTACGTCTACAGAACAGTCGCATTCTTCAATGGCCAGTTGATACCCTTATCCGCTGCCCCCGTATTTCCCAATCCTGCACAGTTGTACAATCCGACAGGGTTGTTCTGCGTAGCCCTCAGATATTGTAAATCGACACACTGCTGGGTACCGCTGCTAGCAGCGAGAGCAATACGTCCATCGGCCATGGCGTTCCAGGTCTGCTGTTCGCTTCCGGCTACGCATTCGCGGAGGTAGATGTTAGCCATGTCTTTCCAGCCGGACTTAGGCCCAGCATCCATGCAGAGAGTGGTGGATGCGAGTTGGATGGACGTAGCGTTGTTGGGCGCCTTGATATACCATGATTGCTCTGGAGTGGATGTAGTGCTTTGCCTGGAGCTAGTGTTAGAAGAGTTGCATAGATAATAGAGAGTGAAAATGGTCTTTGCCCTTACACTACCAGGGTTGCTCCTGCGGTTCGCGACTTGGGTACAACGACGAATTTGGTGTCCTGCGCGGATGTTATGTAGACCGCACGGTACCCTTCTGGTGCTTGTGAGAGGCCGGTGGCGGCCAACGCGAGGACGAGGAGAGTAGTAGTGAGCATTTTTGAGGTTGATGCCAGTTCTAGGGATTTGTGCTGGGCTGGCTGGAAACCAGAGGGGAAAAGAGGCTATATATGGTCATTGTCTTCCATAATGTTTCGAAATTGGTGTATAATTTGATATTATCACCCGGTCACAGTATCTGTTTGACTTCGAAACTAACACGCATAGTAGATGCGGGGGTACAAGTGGTGCTTGTTCTATGTGGGGTCGTCTACTGGGGTATGTAGTCGAGAATCTATGGGTGGTAATCTAGCGTTTACCCGTCGCACGCCCTGCATTGTCGGTAGTTGGAACGATCATCAGGTCTCGGCAACCAAAATCATCCCTCGATTGCATGTATCATACGTCTCGACCGATCTTTGGGTATCTTTGATGAAGCATTCTAGGCAGGACCAGTCCTACCACGTTTTTCCTCTTGCCTTTTCTTGCCCTCTTCTTTCAGTTGAGCATCGTCCTTCCTTGACAGCTCCACTTGAGGCATCAAGAACCAAGCAGCGATGAATGCAAGTGCATTCAACACTGCTCCAACGATGAAAATTACCCGAAAACCTTGCTGATAGGCCGAAGCAAGTGCAGCGCGGATCAAGTCCGTACGCTCTTGGCCAACTGAATCGCGAAACATGTCTGGTGTATCAAGTAGCATTCGAATCTCTGGTTTTGAGAGCCCGTATGGAACCAATGAGGAGTGAACTGCGTTATTGATTATCGTGCCGGAGATCGCGAGACCAAGAGTGCCGCCAAGGTTGCGTATGAAGTTGCGCGTCGAAGTGACAACAGCCATGTGTTTGCGCTCGACACCTGCTTGCACAGCGATGAGCGAAGGCTGCAGCGTGTTTCCTAACCCAAGACCAGCGAGTAGACCGTAGCCTATCTGTTTCCCAAGAGATGGGCTGTCAAGTGTCGATATTAGGCCTAAGCCAATCGCCCATATTGCCCAACCCACAAGCAGACATTCCCTATACCGGCCAGTCCAGTGTACAACGAGGCCTGAAAGTGTGCTGAAAAGAGCTATAGCAAGTTCAGATACATGACATATTCACCAGTGGTAGTCGTCTTACTTTGTGTGAGTGTAATGGGAAGTAGTAGTGCGCCGGACTTCACAGCTGTATAGCCATACACCAGTTGATAGAACGAAGGAATGTAGTAAACCTGAACGAGAAAGTTCCAGCCATTCACGAACATTGTTATTCCGGCACCATTGACGACTCTGGATGTAAATATTGTCACTGCTTGGAGTCAGTACGAGGTTCTCCGTCTCGTTTGCAGCAAACCTACTCGGTATCAATGGCACCTTGGTACATTTCCACTGCCATATGATGAAGAATACTGAGACTGCAACTCCGACTACCAAAGTAGCAACGACGTAAGCAGAGCTCCAGGCGTATTGTCCACCTGCCCATGTCAAGGCGAGCTACAACAGTAAGTTTTGACCGCATGGATGACCGGTGGTGTCGAGTAACATACCACGAGCAAGGCGGATCCAGCGAGAGCTAGGAAAGCCCCAAAGAAGTCGATAGCTGCTATTTTTCTGGTCTGGTTAGCAATCTTCAGTTGCGTGTGATAACACTGCTTACTTCTTCCAATCACCATCCACCTTTCTGAGCGGCATGAAAAACACGACAGACCCAGTGGTCAGAACGCATAGAAACAGGTTCAGTCGGAAGATCCATCTCCTTCAAATGGCTTAGTATAGTACTGATCCAATGTCAACACGATATCCATACCAAGAATCATGGCTTTGGGAAGCGAGTGCGCCACCTATGACTGGCCCAATGCCATTCGCCAAAGCTACGACTGAGCCCTAAGAGGTTGTTAGTATGACACAGCGGAGCGCATTACAACACCACTTACGAGGATACCCTGATACTTTCCTCTTTCGCGAAGAGGTACAATGTCCGATACTATCATCTGGGCCACCGTCATCAAACCTCCACCACCCACGCCCATGAATGCACGAAATACGATCAGCTGAAGAGCGGACTGTGCCAAGGAAGCAGCTAGCGAGCCGAAAAAGAAGATGCCAATGCCGATGATCAAGAGCACCTTGCGGGACCATATGTCGGAGAGACGCCCGTATAGGAGTTGGAATGACGTCGACGTTAAGAAGTATGCGCCCGCGATCCAAGCACTTTCGTTACTGGCGTTGAGATCCCTGCTGACGATGGTCAAGCTGGCTGCAAGCGTGGTTTGGTCCATCAAAGCTAGCAGATCAACGCTTGCGCAAGCCAGGAATATCTACTGACGCGTAAGTACGGAAGAAAACTGCAACCGCCAATGTACTCACTGTAATGATAGTCTTAACCGGTACGTAGTCTTTTTGCAGTAAATGGTTAGTGGAGATTGGAGCTTTGATTCGCACTTCCCTTACTAGTTTGTTCATTGAACTCTAGAGGCTGCTTGAGTGCTTGAGTTGGGGTTATCTCAGGGTGGGGTTCCTTCGGCATGCCCACAACAGCTCCAGGCTCATTCTTGGTAGTCATGGTATAGATTCGATTATGTGGCTCGATCGTTTTTGTGCGCAAATTGGCTATTTCGAAAGACTTGTGGTATGATGGGGTATTCAGCTGGCAGCATAGCAAGATCAGTATGGGCAGAGCCCAATAGATATGACCTCGACTCGGTGTGGTGGGTACGACATTGGCACAGATATCGATGGGGCTTGCGGCTACAGTCCGACATATAGTACTCAAGCCGATTCTCCAATGCCGATCAGTCGTAGCCCAAGTCTATGACTATGGTGATCAAATATACCTAGATATCGACTAACCATGCAAGGTGCGCGCTGCAGACCAGATGCGTAACGCAGCAAGATTATTGAGTGATGCCTGCTAGCGGCCCATGAGATGTTCGGGTACGGTACCTGAAAGTCATGAGTGACTTGTGACAAGCAATTCGATGCGAAAGCCAAGATCGTATGCTTCGGCCTCGCGCCATATCCCGTCTTGGACCAGGCTGCGATGTGAAAACCTTGCTGAGTGCATTAAGGACCCGCTATGCGCAAAGACTTCACTTAGAGCAAATACCGATGAATGTTTCCACCCCATGCACAGTAAACTTGCTCTTGAGCCTTGTCGTTGTATCAGCCATGCAGAGGACGAAGGTCGTGACCTCTGGACCTCCTAAACGCTACTTTTAGTTCGTCGGCACTAACATGTAAACACGCTAGCGCGTTCGCATCCCATCCCGAACGGCCGCCATCAATGTGCTCAATATCTCTCGCGTCCATCCAGAATCACCGCGATACCATCAAACAACCCTATCACAAAATTGACCGGTCGCGCAATCGCCTATAGATCACATTTCCGCTTCTTGGCTGATCCGCAACGTCCCTCGACCGCAGCGGGAATCCTGCCGTACAAATCCCTCTCCGACGTTGATCTACATACTAGTGATGCAACAAACAACACCCACGAAGTGACACCGATGAGCACCTTCATTATTGCATCCCGCATGATACCCATGCCGTAAAACTTCAGTCCCGTAGAACCGCTGTTTCCACAGTAGTATCAATTCGTTCCAAGCTCCGATGTATTACCACTAGAGCCTTCAATAGTTAAAGGGCAGGCTGTGCCAGCGCCCTGATACCTTCATATCTTATCGTACGGTTCCGAAATTTACAATATGGTTTCACGAAATTGTTTGAATGCCTACTCTGGGCCAGATGCTCTTCGAAACTATTTCGACCCCGATCACCAGCCGATGCTTCCTCTTGTCGAGATTCCACCAACTTTGAACCCGTACTACCAGGATGGGGTCAGAATACACGCAAAGATGATGTCTATGCATCCGTCGAACAACGTCAAGATCATGCCTGGTATGTGAAAGAAGATTCACCACCATTGCACATCACTCATGCGGACCCAGCGTTGAACATGTTAACCAAAGAGGTTCATCCGGAGAAGTCGAAAACAGTAGTTGAGTATAGCTCGGGATCTACAGTTATTTCCTTAGCACTGGTCTCTCGTATAAACCACGGGATACAAGATGTTCGCGCGTTTCTAAGCAACAAGACTTCGGCTCCAAAGCTCCGGCTCATGCAATTCTTCGGTTTGGATATGTACGTCGGTCTTCTTCTGACCGTCGACGATTTCTAAACTGCCAGCAGTACTCTCTTTGGAGGTCCGTCTCAGCCGGAACCGCATGACAAACGTGGCGGCATCCATCAAGCGAGGATGATGGCCGAGCAAGACGAAGGGATTCTGAACGTCAACCAGTACGAAAATGATGCGGTGAGCTATCCGGTATACCTTTTCCAGCGCATCCTTTACTTACGTTCGAAGAATTGGCAATCGCATGTCAAATGGACTGGACCGCAGATTCACCAACAATTACCTAGCATCAGTCTCATGTGCGCTGGGATGGGTACCTCTGGCACCATGACGGGTCTCGGCCAGTACTTCAAATCGGCCAAGCCTTCTGTCATTCGATTAGGGTAAGTTCTAGTATCTGCCACTCGCGATATTGTAGCCTGACCACCTGTTCCAGTGTATGCACTGCCGCTGGCGATCGGGTACCGGGGCCCAGATCGCTTGCTCTTCTAAGCCCTGTGGAATTCCCGTGGCGCGACTCTGTTGATGCTATAGAAGAGGTCGGATCAAAGGATGCTTTCGGCTTATCTCTACAGCTCTGTCGGTCAGGACTAATCTGCGGCCCCTCTTCGGGTTTCAACTTGCAGGGTAGGTGCAAGAAGCGCTCGACATGCAGTAACTGACAGCACCAGGGCTCTTTAATTACCTCGAGAGGCGGAAGAGCTCAGGAACATTATCCGAGCTTGCAGGTGCCAACGGGTTGATTGACTGCGCCTTCGTTGCTTGCGACGGACCGTACCAGTACATGGATGAGTACTTCGACAAGCTGGGTAGTACTGCTTTTCGACCCATACACAACGAGGTAAGACTCTTTTTTTCTTTTGACTCGATTGATGACGCTCTATAAGGCTATCTTGTTTGGTTGAAGCATGTCTAACATGTCTCTAGAACCTAGCTGCAGTTGACCTATACCGCTACGACGAAGCATGGGAACTTACTCCTACACGAGCGCTGTCACAGTTTGCCGATAACGTTGAAGAACGCACTGGCGCTGTCTTGCTTGATCTGAGAAAGCCGGAAGACTTTGTTACGAGTCACATTCCAGGATCATACAACCTGCCGCTACAAAGCCTCAACGCGTCTACGCTGAGCCCCTTCTTAGACGCTGTGGTCCTCGAGAAGCAATGGAGAGAGTTAGAGGCTACATTCACACCCGATCGCATCAACGCGCACGATCTTGTTGGGAAAAACGTATACATCGTTTGCTATGGTGGCGATACTGCCCGCGTTGCCACGAGCGTGCTTCGGGCAAAAGCCATTTCAGCGAGCAGCGTGAAGGGTGGCATCACTGCATTACGGCAGGAGCTACCGAACTTGCAGATGAATGAGCGCGGAAGAGGCCTGATACAGCAAGACTGGCTTAAGATGCCGGAGGTCGCTACCAAAGAGTTGAGGGCTGATTCATTGTCTCCGCAAGTTCGTAGCCTGGATGGCATCGTAGTGTAGGCCAGCAGGTAGTACATCAATAATTTCGAAAATTTAAGAGACCGTCAAACCTGAAACCAGGTGATCTGGCTCTTCCAGTTACATGTTCATTCACGATCCATCTTTGCCCGTCTGTTGATGACACTGACAACGCGCAAGCGACCTGCAAGGCTTGGGATGTGTGTGCAATTTCATTAGTCCATATCAGTGCTAGCGCCGGTGATTGAAAGTGCAAAACCAATTCTCCCGCATCTCCGAACACTTCGTTCCGCTTGCATCAGGCCGTGAACTATGCAGATGAACCAGCTTGGGGTGCTTTTCTTAGTTCGTCTGCTCGAATGCACTGGCCTAAACTACGAAATGAAGGGCACAAACCATAGTTCGAATTTGCACACACGGAACCGGCTGAACAGCCACGCTGACTGCAGCGCGTCATTCCGGATTTTGTACTCACATGTCCGGCTGTAAGCCAAACTACTGTAGGTATAATAAATACTTGACAGTCGCGTCTAGCTGTGTTTTCGTCGTCCAGGAACAGTCGCAACCCTTCCCTCTTCACTCTGATTATTCATATCTCATCATCTGCCCGCAATGTCGTCCATCGTGAAAGAGATTGCCCTCGTCACTGGGGCGAACAGCGGTATAGGTTTCGAGATCGCTCACCAACTTCTCCTGAGGGGGAAATACCATGTTCTTCTCGGCTCTCGCTCTACCACCAAAGGGTCTGCCGCCCTAGAAGACCTGCAAGCACGCAAGCTATCGGGCAGCATCGAGCTCGTGCATCTCGACATGCAGAACGACGACCACATTGAGCAGACCACGAAGCTTATCAAAGAAAAGCACGGCAGGCTCGACATTCTGTTCAACAATGCCGCAGTCGCCTTACCGGAAGGTTTGACGGAGCGTGAACGCTTGGCTACAGCTTTCGACGTAAATGCAACCGGGCCATGGCTTCTTGCGAACGCGGTCGTTCCGTTGCTCAAAAAAAGTGCGAACCCGCGGATCATCAACATATCCTCGGGTGCAGGGTCGATCGGTCGCCGCCTCGCCTCAGAAAGCCCAATGTACAAGATCCAGGCCGTTCCGTATCGCGCTAGCAAGGTCGCTTTCAATATGCTTAGTGCGTGCCTATATGTGGAGTACGGACTGGGAATCGAGCAAGTGGACTTTACGGGTATCAAGAAGAACGACGTCGAGGCCAAAAACGAGGAAAACAGTCCGAAAATGAAGGTTTTTTGCTATGACCCTGGCTTCACGGCCTCTAACCTGGGCCCGCACAATAAAGAAGAATTTGGTGCGAGGAGTGCACAGGAGACGGTGAAGAGTATCATGGAACTTGTGGACGGGAAAAGAGACGAAGAGTGTGGCAAATTTATCCATAACACTGGAGGATACCCATGGTAGGTCAAGATTGTTTTCATGTAATGGAGACGACCGAGCCTGGGTACAATTCGACAATGCTCCCGTCGCAAAGAGTCTTTGAGCGTCGGGTCTAGCAACGGAAGAGTGCTCTTCCACCCTTACGCCTTGGCAAATCAGGAAGCTATTGGGTGCAAGGCTTGGGTAATTGGTTTATCCGTCTCCTACCAGTTTTCGCTTAGTGTTTAGCTTCGGGTGCGCGATGTATGGACATAGGTCCACTACGCCCATGGCTTTAGTGTATGCATGCTTATAATCGCATGTGCCTGCAAGCAAAGTATATTTACCTGCAAAATAGTAACAGCACATCTCTTCAACATGCATATATCACGTCTCTCTGCTATTTGCTCTGTCTTTGCTGTGGTGTTTTCACATCCAGGAGTACCAGAGCGGTTACAGGGCGCGAGTTGTCCTTGTGCATTCACCCGAACCGAAGAGCCAGGATGTATTTACTCCAATTCGAAGCTTAGCGAGAACATTGACAACATGGCATCTCGTAGGGCGCAGGGAAAACGAGGTGTTTTCCTTATGAACCGCATTGCACCGGGCACATCAGAACTGTACATCGCCAATGCGGATGGAAGCGATGAGCGCAAGCTATTGGCAAATAGCTCGAATTTCGACTACCATGCGACCTTCTCTTCGGATGGGCAGTGGATAACCTTCACTACTGAACGCAACGGGGATGGCAACTCGGTGGGTGTTTTCCGGAATCTAGGAAAGCATCAAGCGGCTAATTCAACGTGCAGGATATATATCGCGTTCGACCTGATGGATCAGATTTAGAGATGATGACTGCAACACCGTCCATGGAAGATGCAGGGACATTATCGCCGGATGGAAGCAAGATCGCCTACGTTTCGACAGCCAACGATTACAAGGCCAACATCTGGATGATGGACCTTATCACACGCCAGACAACAAAGCTTACCGGCACCGATCTTGTCAAGGGTAACGAGAGCTTGCCAGAGAGCTATTTACGTCCTTCTTGGTCACCAGATGGTAGATGGATCGCTTTTTCTTCCGATCGTAACACGCAATGGCGCGGCCATGGCAACGGTACTGGATGGGAACATACCCAGGAGCTGTCACTCTATGCTATCCGTCCCGACGGTACCGGCTTCAAACAGCTCGCTACCAAAGAAGGCTACTGTCTGGGATCGCCCAAGTGGTCCCCAGATGGTAAGCGCATCGTATACTATGAGATATCCACTGAAGACACTTGGAATGCGCACCGACCTGAGTCTTTACAGGCTGTCACTGGTCAACTCGTATCCATTGACTTTGACACTAGTCTTGATCGTCTAGAACACACGGAAGGCTCTGGTCTCAAGATGTTTCCACAATGGATTGGCAACAACACTATTGCATACCTACTTAAGAATACCGACGATGAGGGTCTGAACTACCTCGACATCTCCAGTGGTAATGGCACCCTCAGTGCCTACAAGGCATCGATCCGCTCGCCATCCTGGTCGCCCGATGGCTCACAGGTAGTCTACGAGAAAGTCGATTTCGATGCAATTCGTCCTATGGGTAAGGAACTTTACAGCTGGGACGATGAGTGGGATTATCGATTCACTGATATTTTCCCCCAGCTTTCTCTACAGGGAAGACTTGCCATCACGCAAAAGCAGCTCGGCAATTCGAGCATTGTTACCGTGTCACCAGACGGCACCGATGTCAAGCAGGTGTTCGATGTTTTCTCTGCCAACATGAGCGAGGCCGCTGTAGCACAGGGTCTGTCTGGCGCGTTCCAGCCCTCATGGACCTCAAGCGGCGATTGGCTCGTCTTTGGCGTGGAATCATGGTTCCAGAGTCGCAGCACAGGCCCTGGCGCCCTGTACCGCGCGACTGCCAACGGTTCGTTCTCTGAACAATTGACAGATGGCTCTGTCAATACTGGTTTCCCTAGCTACTCACCCAATGGTCGCTACATCGTTTATCGCGTCTTTGGCGGCGAATATGGCTTACGCATCATGGACTTAGAGGACCGGTCAGTCAGCATCCTTACAAATGCCACTAATGACAATTACGACAACTTGCCTTCTTGGTCACCAGATGGTTCACGTATCGTCTTCTCGCGCCGGGTCACCTACACGAACTTTGATGTATGCACCATCAAGCCTGACGGTACTGGCCTTCAAGTCCTGACCTCCAGTCTGGGTAACGACGCACATGCGGTTTGGACGCACGACGGCCGTATCATGTACTCTACAGCGCAATATGGATTCCGAGATGAGGCTACGATATACGACGATACATTCCAGCCATATGGGCAGATCATGGTCATGAACGCTGATGGTAGTAACAAGAGGTTGCTAGTGGATAGTATGTAGGAAGACTCGATGCCTTTGTATGTTCCTAACGAGTTCCTTGCTATGTAGTCTAGTACGCACTTCTACAACGGCCATGTCGATTTATGGATGAGCATGAATTATTTTGACGGCCAATTGATAATTTTTGCAGATGGTACTTGGAGAAAAGAGGTTCATTTTTATCCATTACATATAGTCTTTTGATGCGTGTTTCGCTAAGTGACTACTACATAGGACGAAATCTATCTAGCACATCTCAACTACACCAGCGACATTTGAGACGCCATTCTCAATCTCTCTTCCACTTGCCTCCACCCTTACAAAACCGAGTGATTGAGTCACGACTGCCTTAGTTTCGAACCCAGTCTTGTTAACACTGACAACCTCACTCAAGCTTCCGTTGGATACACCACCAAATACAGTCCAAACCCGATGCTCCGTAGCACCATTCCAACTCATGTAGACTTCCGTACCATTGCTTGACTTGCACGCGTACACATCTGGCTTCGAGCTAGGCTTACCAACCCACTCAGCCTTGTAGCTGCGGTAGCTCTGTACCGACTCCGCCTCGCCCCAGGATACGCTTAGCACTACGTTGCCGTCTTGATCGAACTCCTTCAGCGTTGGAACGCTTCCGTATCCCATCACGATGTTACCGGAAGGGAGCACTTCCATGTTGCCTTGGCTGACCGAGTAAATGGTGTCGTCGGGGTCGGCGAGTTCTTGTAGCAACGACGCGGTCATGTCCTGCTCATCGATCGAAAGAAATATACCAGTGGTTTGGTTGACATGAGATACAACTGCGCTGTTGTCGTTGTTGAAGAGGGAGATCGTGGTCGTGTTGGGCAGTTGAGAGGGGTGTAGACGCGCGTCATGTTGATAGCAGAATGAGAGGTTGTTCATCAGAGTAAAATCGCCTCCGGAGTAGCCCTTATAACATGTTAGTTTCATGCTCGTTGCTACCAAACTTGGTGGTATATATAGAGAAAATGTATGCAAGACTCACATTCAATGTCCACTCAACCGTTCCGTTGCGGTTGACCTTGAAAATGGAGCAGTAGTGTCTTGACGAGATCAAGAAACTATCGTCGTCAAACCTCTCCACAGAATTGATGTGAAACGGTCCCCAAGGATAACTGCTGTTCCTGCCTAAGTCACCAAGCGGATATGTAGGCACAGCACTGGCGAGCGTAACCTGATCCACATGGTCGAGATGGCTCCATTGCCAAAGCACCTCACTATTCGTCACGTTGAGCTCCAGCACAATGGAGTCTACAACCCAGCCATCCTTTGGGCCGCCAATAGATGACAGATCCCACGGCGTAACATTCACAGCTCCAACGAACATTGTACCCTCGGGCGTGATGAGATTCTCGTGCATGTCGATCCAGCTGAAAGGCTGATACTGCGTGGGATCGTACAGGGGAGAAATGCTCTCCAATGGATATGTCGAGTTCCACAGTGTGACGTTATATATGTTCTCGTACTGTTGGTTGAGGATGTAGATTATCCCATATCCAAAACCCCATGGCTCGCTGAAAGAGACACCAGCGAAGTAGGCAAGTACAGGTTCGCCGAAGAGCGTAGTCCTTCGGAATGCGGCATAGTCGCCATATCCTGACTGCCAGACTAGTTCACCATCTTCTCGGAAAATGTTAAGGCTGTAGTTGTGCGATTCGCTACCGCTCAAGGGGAAGAGAATCTGCCCTGGCGAGGTAGTACCAGTCTTGTTGATAGAGAGCACTGGAGGCTCGAATCCTGCGCGTGATTTGAAGGTTTGCCATGGCCATTGTGGAGCCGCGTTGTTCTGGGCATGTACAAGAAGGAAAGCCAACGAGGCGAGGAGGATGCTTTGAAGACGCATGTTATAACGGTCGCGTAGTTGGAACCACAAAGCACAGGTGTCAAGGCCAGTGAAGCCTTCGAAGTGTTCATTCTTATACGTTCCATGGTTACATCGCTGGACTACATCGCGCACCCCTCAGTACCGGAGCCTTTCACGGAGGCGGTGATGCATGGAGGATTGCAGACTTTTCCTACACCTTGTCGCAACACGAGTACTCTGCCAGATATGGAGCTTCAAGCGGTCGGTGGGACGCGTGCGATTTGGCCTTTAGTGGGGCTAATTATCAATCTCATCTTATCAGATGCAGATCAATCCGACATCGGGTTTCGCGGAGATCTTTCGGTGGCCTTGGCGATGATGAACGTTATCTTCTGAACAAGTTTTGCGCCACTAACGAGCTTCTTGGGTAAAGCTCCATCGCTCAGTCGGACGATACAGGAATATTTACCACCGGCATAAGTGCAGGAAGAATATGGATGGTGATGATGATGATTGAGATGATGTAGCTCGGCATGCAGGAGCAGGGAGCTTCGAGAACTTGCAGATGACACTAATACATTCTAGTCCTTAGCACCAGTGACGAGAGGGTTATCGTCAAAGCTTACATCCGTGGACGTTTGACAACCAACAACATCGATCAGATCCAAATCTGGACAGCCATATGATCTTTGCCTTGTTCACCTGGCTGCACAACAGTCATGACATCGCTTGTGCATATCGTACGCCATGGTGAAGCACTTCATAACGTTCAGCGGGGCTATCCGGACAGAGATCCGCCATTGACAAAAGCCGGCAACGCCTCCACCAAACGCATCAATCTCAATGTTCGGCCAGACCTGATTCTTATCTCACCCATGACACGCACGATCGAAACTGCTATGAACCTTTTCCCATTCTTGACTGGGGCAGGTCCTTGGGAAGTTCCTACCCAGATCTGGCCCAATCTTCGTGAAGCCAACGACGCCATTTGCAACAAAGGTCTTTCACGGGCAGAGCTGGTATCGAAATTTCCGCAGTTCGACTTCTCTGAATGTCATGAAGAGTGGGACTATCCAGAACACAGCATAGAAAGCGCTACTACGCGTGCAGAAAATGTACGACGAAGGTTGAAACATCTGTCCGCAACATACAGCAACATCGTTGTTATTACGCATCGAGGTATCAAAGCTTTCCTTGTGAAGGGGAAGCGCTTTGGACTAGCCGAGACAAGGTGCTACCGCTTTGCTACTGAGGAAGAAACCCAGGATGACAAGATCAGAAGAGGCGTCAACACTGATACAGGAGAAGAGCAAGATTTTGGACCGACGGTGTTGATATTGGAAGAAAGTCAAAGAAAAGATCGGTGAAGCTGCGGGTCGTTCGACTCAGGCATATGAAGACGTGCATGAGAAGGGATAAAGTCTCTTCCGGAACACATCGTGCCGTGCACGTCACAACCGGAGCCAGCAAAGCATCCGGGCCATGAACTCCGTAGGTAGTGATTGGGCTAGTACCGCCAAAAGCATCACAGATACCCCACCATAATTCCATGTCTCATGACTCAAGACTTCAAGAACGAAAAGAGATCATAAACTACGAGGACATAGCAACTTGTTTACGTGTAGAACACATGCAGGAATCAAGGCGTTCTCACAACGAAGCAATGACTATCTTGGACGGATTGTGCGGACTTCGGCTTTGAGTGATATACACCAACGACAAAGGTCGGTATGATCTTGATACTTGACTGCTAACGCGCTGTCCCCATTGCTTCAGCTTGCGCTATGCGCTCGGTTCCCCTTGCCCATGTGCCGTCTTCTGTTGAGTTGTCGACTTGGTCCAATCTAAACCTGTACGTAACCTTGCGATAGTTTCTCTCCGCGCTACATTTCCACTTTCTTGCTCAACAAACTGATCTAATTCAAGTTCGGTTGGCCGCTGATCGAATGCTACGGGATCTGTTCCTTGTTCCTCCTTAGGTGTGATCAAAGCTGCCATGACTTCACGCTCTTTCATACGCCACAAGAACCAAGTACCTACTACCACAATTAAGGTCAATACAATCGTAACCAAGAAGTACAGCCAGATCCATTGAGAGTATATGCGACCACCTAAGTCATCGTTGAAACTGAAAAACGTGGTGCTGAAGAAAGTCTGCAATTGTTAGGCTGACATGCGTCGACTTTGTGTGTCACGGTTAGACTCACAGCAGTGACTAGATGCAAGTTTACGAGGTCAGTGAATGTCTCGCATGCAGTTCGTACGAGAGCATTACTTACACGTTGCCGGTAAGAAGAAAATGGTAATCGCAGCAATTATTCTCATGACGGCACTGTCGCGGGATGTTGATATTGCTACGCTTTGAGACGATTGCGCCAGACTAGTGCTCGTGCTCGCCAAACGAAGACTTGTCGCTGAGTCGCGCTGCGCAATTGCACTATAGACCTGGAGAAGAACATGTCAGAATACTGCCAAAAGGTCTATGAGACACTCACAGTTTGTACTATGGCTTGTCCTCGCTTGGATACGTATTCTGCTCGATCCTCAAGCCCCACGTTCCAGGATCGCAGCTCGGAATTGGTATCAAGGAGCAATTGCTCGATTTCAGTCGATTCGTCTTCGGGTACCCCATTATTGTCTGCTTGCCTTTTGTATCTCCTTGCAACCTGATCAAGAAACTCGAGCATACGTGTAGTGCTTTTGCAAAGCAGGACTATAAATGCGAGATTGGTGTTCACAGCGTTTAGGTCTTTCGAGAGCGTACTGAAGTCGATACTTGACAGCTCAGGGTTATCATAGTGATCGAATCGGATGCCTATCCTTCTCTCATTCCAATAGATTTTATCTTGCCAAAGGTTCAGTGCTTTCACTCGCTGCTCAAGATTGAAGCGCACGATGATACTTGGCACTAAGAATGCTGACATGCTGGAGGCGCCTCCTTGAATCGCGTATGAAAACCGATCGTAGTTGTTGCTTGCAAGGCCATGCATAAAGATGTACATATGTTTAGTGGAGAAATCGTAGGTGAAAGAAGCGCTCACACACACATGAGACATTGCTCCGGGTACTGACTGCAAGATGAAACCTAGTACGATGAGCTCAGTAGCATATTTGGACTAATGTGTCTCTGCTCCTTACTTAGGTATTGCTTTCGCATTGCTTTTGGAGACCTATGCCGCAGAAACGAGGGCAGTTGGGGAATAGCGAAGACGTAGGTTGCCGCCTTGTAGTCCAGCACGCGCGCATAGATTTCTGGTATCCGTGCAAAGAGAGCAATGCGTCTGAACGTATGCGATGACAGAGGTACCGGCGTCATATTGCCATTGTAATCTCCTATGCGTCTGGACCAGCTACGACGAGAACATGTTAGCATTGCAGCCGGTATACGATTCAAAGAACATGCGCACAACAACTTAATGGTCTCCACGTTCGCTGGCTGCTCAATCTTGCTTCCATATGTCTTCGTCTATGTTAGCGTATATCCACAATGGACTTCTGACAGACTTGCCGAAAAATCATTTTCAATGTATCCGTCAATTAGATCATCAGTCACCTGCAGCCTCTTTGTATGACCATCACTAGTCACTTCGATTAGGATGACAGGTGCTTGTTTGTCCTCTATGAAGGCCAGCGGTGAATGCCCTGTCGCCATAGCTGTGGTGAGGCCTTAAGGGAAGGTTTCCTATGCCTGTAGGGAAGGTAAACCAAGACTGGACACGTTGCCAGTAAAATGTCCGCTCAATGATTGGAGTGGCATAATATCGCGATCTGTTGTCGCTCGTTTGAGCTGAATGACACGAGGAGCTGCTGTGGGGGCCAGAATGGCTTCTCCATCGTGATTGGTGGGCAACAAGTGGCTGCATCAATTCGCGAGCATTTGACTGAACAGACCATGTAATCAATCAAGATGCGAACCTCAACACATGCTGTTGTACATGTCAATAATACGAAGCACTGATGTAAAAGGCTGGAGTGGCGGGTGCTCATGTCCTGAAGCACTTGAAGAACTAAGCCACTTGCACAAATCAAATCTACTGCTCAAAGATCGCGTCGCACACATGATGAACTGCTCAAACGAACACACGAACGACAACTTTTTGATACAACCGCCTAACACTATAACAGCTACATGCGCATGTCCTAGCGACCTTGCTTGCTGTAGCAAAGAGAGAGCCGACGAAAGCCGAGTGGAAAGGAACAGGCGTATACTTGGCATAATCAAGCGACCTTCCTGCAAACCAGAGCATGTCAAAAGATTGTGCCGCACTTGCATATCCTGCGCACGACTACTCGTCTACTTTTAACTCGCCATTTTCAGCGCCACGCAGAGCGTCGAGCGCACGGTCCAGTTCCTGTTCAGCTACCATGACCGTCCCGGCACGCGCGGTGCTCAGATAACTCATTTCAACAGGATCTTCCAGCTGTCCTGTCGTTTCGCCAACCAATCTGCCGGCTACACCACACACAATACCCGTGCTTTCCATTGGCAAATCCCGTAGATCCAATGTGATGGGCGTCAGAAACTCATCTCTTGAGCCGAGGAGAGTATCTTGCGCAAAATGCGGCAACAGAGTGTGGTCGAACAGCAATGCCGCAGATTCGGTGTCAGTTAGCGTGAGGGATAAAAATTTCGGATATGGTTGGGTGATGAGGCATTTTACGAGACCGAGATGGAGTGCGTCGTCGGCGGCAGTCGTCATGCTGTTGCGATTTCGAGCTTGGTTCATGCCATTTGCGCTATCCCGGCGACCGGCACACTGAACGAGTCGGATACTGGAATCTACTGTAGGGACAATACTTCGACGCTTGAGCGTTGCAAAGGTCCTGGTTTGAAGCTCTGAAATAGTGGTTGGCGGAGGGGTACTGGGCGGTTGAACTTCGAGTGACGCGGCTGAGTGTTTGCGGCCATGTTGGAACGAGTTGACGTATGAAGAAGTGTCCTTTTCGAACTGGAAACCACGTTCCTCTAGTGCCTGCACGACCTGTGATCGATGTCGCAACGGGACCAGAATGTAGTCGGAGAAATAAGTGGTAATAAAGAAGATGGGACTAGAATAAAGTCAGTCTCAAGTGTAATCTCTACGGCGATTACTACTCACATTCCAGCCAGAGCGAGAGGACTCGTAAGCTCCAAGACGCGTTGGCCTGCGTCAAGTCCTTCACCATCGACTTGCATTACAACAAAGTCGTCTGCAGTGATACTGACAGACTCTTTTGATTCAGCATCCAACAAATTGAGAACAGGCACGAACAGTTCACTCGCAAGTGTCCTTGAGCATACTATGGAGCACTCGACTGGCGTGATAGAGATATTCACAAAGGGATGCTCGCAAGGCCAGCCTTTCGGAGGCTGCACCGCACCAGAACCGTTCCCGAAAGCCTTGCGCGTTGCATTGGGCAATACTAGTTGAAGAATTGACTGAAGAAAGTTGCGATACAGGTGCAGCGGGATGTGTATCAGAGCAAGTTGAGTGTCCTTAGAGGTGATCATGTTAGCTGATGTCCATGGAAGAGAAAATTTTGTGTGGGAGGCAAATGATAAGAGTTGCCTTTCCGTATGTGGTGCATGAAGGACCCGCCACCAAGGCTCCCTCCGGTGTAAGACACGGACACTTTTGTTACCATGCAATGCAGCAAGGCGCATGAGGAAGAGAAAGCCCACGTACCAGAATTCGGATGTTGGCACTGAGAAGTGTCAAAGACGAGTCCATTACGTGCTACAAAAATGAGATAAGAATAGGCGTTCTCGATGACGATCGCTCGCGTGCCGTGGGTAGCTGGCTGCGGGACTCTTTTCCGATTCGGTAAGTCGGGTTTGACACGACTTGCTAGAGGGCCCGTGGAGCCTCCAGGAACAGTGGAAAAAGCAAGCTTATCGTTGTTCCGAGAGTCTTGGTAAAGCAATGATGGTATGCAGCCACAGATAAAAATGCGGGGGATCTGACCAGGCTATCGGTTGATGTGTTCTTGTCCAACAGGCCAGTGTGAAGTATTGTTCTTGAAGCCGAAATTCATCCCACAAACTGGGTATGTGTTACTGGGAAATGGAATGTGTAGTGCCTGGATACCGAGAGAGTATATGGCACAGAGGTGCTGTGAGCAATCGTACCGATTCAGTTGCGGACCGATGGCATGCGTGAAAATGACACAATCGCAGGGCACGGTTTAGAGGCCGCTCTATGTGACTTTGAGTCGTGGCTTACTTAGGACGAAATGCCGTGAGTCTGGGGTAGAGATGCAGCGTGGGGATCAATGCAGGTGACCCTTGTCTAATTGGCTGGGAGGCTCCCGGATGGTGCAGATGGGTGAACCCTAAAGTTGGTTTTCAGGGCAGCGTGCGCAATGCGCGGGGCGAGCTGGGCGCGTGGGGTAGCACACTGGACGGGAATGAACACTGAGATGACGGCTGGACGCAAGAATCGGTCCTGCGCGTAGAGCGGATGCTGCTGCTGACGTCGACTGTGAAGGCGTGGGACAGAACCCGGTCGGTGGATAGCGGGTGTAGTGAGGGACAGCTGTTGGCGCTGGTGGGGTGGATCAGTGAGTGCTAGGAAGCATCAACGCTTTATGTGAGTCGAAATGCAAGTGGAGATATCCGCCGGGTGTGGTGACTCGAAGAGGCACTCCGAGAATTTTCCACGATGGCGCGGCCATAATGCTGGGAAATTGCCTCTGTGGCCGGCGGCAAGCAACAGTCAGCGAGTAGATCGAGTCAGCTTCGAAATATGGATGGGACGTCAGAGGCAGCCACAATAGTGCATCCCTTTGATGCTGGTGTCATGCAGCACTTGATGAGCTGCAAGCAGACCTTGGGGTTGTCCGTGCTCCATGCCAACCACCAGCACTCATGCCGCGATTGCAATCCGACCTGCACCCAATCTCTCTCATGCTTGAGGGTACCTGATCGACGCCAGCAACACTGCCAGAGTTCCACAGCGTTAAAGACGACGTTTTCACGGCGCCGACGGGCAGACTCTCGGGGAGCCTTGCGAAAACGATCACACGTCTTTTAAACCTCACACGAGATGACGAACGCCATGCCTCTCAGCGTGAGCTACGCATCTGGAGTCCCTGACCCCAGCAACACATGGGATAGCAGCTCCACAGAGTCCATGGGTGTTGCAGGATATGATTGCGTGCATGCAGTATTGCCCTTTGTCCCTGAGCGGGAAGCCGAGCATAGCCGCCGCTGTCGACCGGACCCTGATTGTTTATCACTCTTTGCTCCACACGTCGCGATACGCGCAGATACCACCACCTGTTCCGCGGTCGGCACTGCTAGAGGATAGACAAGAGGTCGGCGATGAGTGTCAGAGCAACCAGTACCTTGGTGCGCGCTGTCGTGTAACTAGAGAGGCGCATACCCCGCATCATCTGTCATTTCGCCTGTGCACCGCATCCTTCGAGGATTGTACGTTCACTGGACCCTTCGCAATGACGTGCACGCGAGTCCAGAGGACGAACGGCTACCCGCAGCTCGGGAGAGCAGCGTCAACAAGGTGGGTCACTGTATCGTCGAGCTCGGAATTGGCCGATATCACCACCATGCGATGATGTCGTCTGCAGGACCCCTCTCGGTTCAGCATCCCGGACCCACAAGCGGACGCCGCATACGCAGCACGCACAATAAACAAGCTTGCGCGAGAGACGCTTCGAAACGTATGCGTGGGGGCTGCTCACGTTCTTACTGCGTCTGGTCCTCTTACCCCTCGCCAACTCATCCATTTTCTCCGCAGATTATAATGCTCGCTGTTATCCTTCCTACGCTTGACGGAAGCCGGCAGGTCTCCCGCCATGCATGACATGGAATTTGGTGGTAAGACATCGAATTGGATACATATGCAGCCTCCAAGACATCAGGGCCGCCTATGAAAGCTGATGATACCTCGCACAAGACATTGCACGATACGACTATGGAGTGCCG